GATTCCTTCCATTAGAAGCTATTCGATTTATTCCAGCTTTTGCAGGAACATTCAGCTTAAAGTAAAGTTCAGTAGCGACGCCTTACAATGCACATCTCTGTAAATGATATCATTGCTTTCAATCCAACTCTTAAAGTTGCATTTGCTTCAGATTCAAATCCACCGACAAATAAATTTGTTCCATGGAATGAACCATTCATATGATAACGAAGGCAGTAGAAGCTAGTGGAACATTACTATTACAACTGTAACCCAGCAACTATTTCGAACAAAGATGGATTTTAATGAATGTTTCATTCATCCAAAGTCATTCTCTTTAGACCCTATTTATACAGAATTGTAGAACATTATACAAACGAGGCTTTATGTTTTCCTGTTAAAGTTATGGATTGGATTCCTATGGACGGTTCATTCTCAAAGAATACAGATAGTTCAAGTGCAACATTTACAGCAGGCTTATACGCCTATTAATGTTAAAGTATTTTGGGCACTATTTAGAAAGAAAGACAACTATTATGTTAATTTTGAGAACCCTAAGTTTAAATATCTTCAGCTTTCCATGGGAGCTTAGGGAAATATGCCTGCAGAACCCGAAAAATCATATGGACCTGTATTTTATGAAATGGTTGCGAACGCCTGCAATACAAACAATGATATGATAGGATTTAATGAAGATGTTATGAGGTCATTGGTGGATGATGGTAGTGTGGAACATAAATGGGATAGCTATGACAACACACATTTCTTATGTGGTTTTCCAACAGAAGTGGACTTTTGCTTCCAGCAAGGTCAAACATCTACTGCTCCAATAACATACAAATTGTCTGTTAAAGGACCTATTGAACTAGCAACTGAAAATGTACCAAAGCTACTTATTGGATTTATGAGGGATTGTTGCTTTGCCATTCAGGTGCGTGCTAATGGAATCCCAATAATAAGATTAGATGACTATAACTTAGCTACGGACGACGGTGAGGAATAAAGGATGAACGTTTATTTTTAAAGCTTATAAATGAGTTCTTCATCAAGCTCTCGTGAACCTTCACCATCTATGAAACAAACTTTACCAAACGATTATGGAGCACCTATTGAATATTTCTTACGAGCTGCACAATGGCAAAGAGCAGTCTCACCAAGGTTAGGTGTTCCACCAGCTCCTGTCAAAAATAGCATTTGGCCAAGTCCTTATATAAGATATGGTCTCCCACTAGGTTTGCTAGCTACAGCAGGAGCAGTTATGATGTTGAAAAGAAATAAAGCAAATGTTGTAAATAATACTGAAGTAGCTGAAGTTAAACAAACTCCAACGCCTTCACAAACAACACCTTCAATGACTCCTGAACCTATGGAAGTACAAACTCCTGTTCAAAAGTCAACTCCTAAACCGACTCCAACATTTAAACCAGAACCTACTCCTCAAATAAATCGTAAAACTCCTGCGTTTCCTTACTGAAAAAATAACGTTATTTTTATTTAATATTAAAATTTTTATTTGATTGAAATGACAAATAAAGTCACTGAAGCAATGAAACAAAAGTTTTTGGTAGAATACATTAAATCAGGAACTATTCCAGAAGGTTTTTACATTCATACTATGAAGGATGGTAGAGTTCAGTTTAGAAAGATAAAGCAACCATTAGATAGAGAAGGTATATTAAGGAAGATTAAACTTCATGAGGACAACATTGCTGAACTTAAGAAGAAGTTAGAAGAGTTGGAGAAAGGAAGAGAGTTATAAAGCAATGAATTCAACAGGGTGAAAAAACAGGTGAAAAAAGAGGTGAGATCTCACCACTTCACCTAAATTTATTTTTGTGCTATGTTTTCATACGTGTGAGGGTGGTGATATCATTAATTTTTAAGTTTATTTTTTAAAAATTATTTTTATATAAATGACAGAACAAAAGCAACTCATACAAATCGAAAAATATAACAAACATACATTTAAACATTTATTCTTCCTTCCTGAGTATAACATGTTCTTTACACTTCATCCTAGACCAGTAGATTATACATTGACTGTGTATAAAGATTGTCATGGTAGTTTTATAAAAACTTATGATGATGAAGGTAAGTTAACAAGACTATGCATTTCAAAACTTGAGAAACTTTATGACTTCAAGTATGACTACAATAGAGTTAACATTGACGATGAAGATATAGAAGAAAATTTATGAGAACGTTTATTTTTTCGTTAGTGAGGTGAAATGGTTGGCGGTTTTGTAAATATTTAAGGTTAAGTTAGTTTTTGCGTTTGATTTGTAAAATATACGTTAGCGGTTTTTGTAAAGTGTCAAACCGTTATCTTGGGTAAGGTGGAACACAGTGCCGCCGTACCCAACTAAGCCATACTAACTATAATTCGTCAAATAGTTTGTGCATTAATGGTCGAAATGTAATAAGTTGAACAATAACGGCAAGAAAACTGAGATTTTTTCCAAGCTTGATACCAAGCTTTTGTTTTTTAGGCTTATCATGAGTTTTTCTGAGTGTCTGTGGAAGTTGTATCAAATCAGGATGAAAATCTGCTATCATTTCAAGAGATGGTGGATTGTGGCTGAGGACGTTAAGATAATTGATTGCGTTTATCTTAATTTTCTCAAAGTTATGAAAATCAGTAAAAGCTGAATTCATAATTTCTTTTGCTTGCTGAGAATCGTAAACTGCAACAGCCGAGCTGTTTTCTTCATTAATACGAATTAAAGACGAGTACGTATTATAAAGATCTTGTTTAAATTTGGATAATAAATTTTGGAATTCTTGAGGATCATCTGGAATTTCCTTCGCCTTGAAGAAAAATGAAAACCTTTCCCAATCTGGTGGTACTTTGATATCGGAACCAAATATAGATTTTTTGTTGAATTTTGGATAATCTGTTGGAAGTGAAAGATTTTCAGATTCTGACGGTTCTTCATCCGCTGGCGGATCCTCATCGTCAGTGTATTCAATTTTTTCGGATCTGGATCCATCTTTTGACGGTTTATGAGGAACTAAGTCAGCGAATTCTGTGTCAATTTCATCTGGAATGTAATGAACGCATCTGTTATGATTTCTGTAGTTTTCCGAAGTTCTTCTGATATGGTCATAATCGGATTTATTTTCGAAATTTAATATAACTTGTAAAATATCTTCATCAAAATAAGAATCATCTATACCCATTAATCTTCTTAGTTTTGTCTTCCAATTGTCTTCATTATACGCAAATACAGAAACAAAAATTCTGGCTGGAAATCCAATAATCCAACGAAGATTTTTTGGGACTAAATGTGCTTTCAATGAATTGAAAGCTTCGTTGAAATTTGTATGATATTGTTTGCTGATTCTTAGAAACAATGGAGCAATATTTGTAATAATTTCTCTTTTTTCGATATGCTCTGGTGATTCTCCTGGATATCTATTAATTAATCCCATCCATCTCTGAACCTTTTGCTCTGGTTTTAATGTTGGGCATGCAAAAAGGATCCTAAATATTTTTTCAAATTTAGGATATTTAGTGACAATTTTTGAAAATGCTGATTTTATCACATGATTTGGATCTCTTACATGTGATAATTGTGCACCAGAATTCTCTATCATTGTTGAATCTTTAACATCACCATCTGAACAAAAAACTTTTATTTTTTTCCATAAATCAGATTTCAACATATCACGTAATGCATAGCTTTCCATTAATCCTGGTGAAATTTTTGGTTCAACCAAAATTTTGGGACTTTTGAATTTTATTAATTCTGGATGCCTTGAAACTATTCTAAAATCTAATATTTTGTTTGTATTTATATCTATAAGCGTAATGACGGCATGTAAAGCATCGCGCTTAGAACTCCATGCGCAATCTAATGAAACATTAAATTTGTATTCTGAATCATGTTTAAGAATTTCTTGTATATTAGCTTCACAACTTGCTGTTGCAACTTTCTCAAGATCTGGCAATATGCTCTTTAGATGCGCAAGTAATGTAGTTTCTGTTGGGCAATGAAAGTTTAGGAATGATGCCAATTCGATGTGTTTTGAAAATCCTGCACCAGATATAAGAGAAATGTAAGTATGAAGATTCTTGACAACGTCACTATACGGAACTCCAGGCTTAAATTTGACGTTGAATATTGTTTCTTCCTTAACATTTGATTGTGAATGATCTTGTTTTGAATTAAGCTGGTTTAGATTAATGAAATGCGAAAAAGGTTTCTTATTTGAATAAACAGTTCGATGATAGACCCTTTTTTGGCAGTCATCAGCTTTATATGTTATTAATATCTCTTCAATTGTGTATCCTTCCATGATTGGAATAGAATACTCCATAGGAAGAGCTAAAATCCCGCCAAATTTTACGGTTTTTTTAATACAAAAGTAATCAAAATGAATAAAGCAAAGATATATATTGTATTTAATCAGTCAATTGATATTGGGTAGAATATATGCTCAATATTTCATTTTTCAAATTTATTATTTCAAAAAACCAATAATTGGCGACATTGTTTACTGTAATACTTGTTTTTAATGAAAACACTATATGCCTTCCTTATTTTCTTTCTTTTTTATTTTTTTTGAAAAAATCAAAAAAACTCGAAAAAAAATCAAAAAATCACAAAATCGATGAATTCTCAACGTAATTTAAATCTTCAAAATCGTAGAGATTGGTCATAATATAACTAAGCATTATGATATGGTAAAGTTCAAAAAATCTCTCTCTTGAACGAGATAAAAGCTTAACAGAAATAACCTTAAAGGTGCTTTTCTGAGGGTGGTCTATCGTCTATAGGGCACCCTTAAAAATTGTTTGATTTTAAATATTCTTTTTTTTGATCTATTTTGTCGAATTGAGAAATATTGACAAAATAGTACACCATTTAAGATTGGCTTAGTTCTTCCTTATATAACAATAGTGCTCACAGGCTTTAGGGCTATTTTTTGATAGTTTACAAGCTATATTTTGATTTCAAAAGCAATATAAGAAATGTAAATTTGATATGAATTCTGACACTTTTTAATTCAAAATTTCGATGACAGATTTTAATGTAGACAATATAATTTCATCAATTAGAAGCGGTAATTCGGTAGAAGAAAGCAATGTACTTCAAGTCCTCGCAAAATTGCAAGAAATTCTCTACAACGAAAACACAATTATCGAAGTTCAATCACCAACATACATTGTAGGGGATATTCATGGTCAGTTATATGATTTATTCAACATGTTTGATACACTAAATCCGAAAGGAACAAAAAATCTGAAATACGTTTTCATGGGAGATTACGTCGACAGAGGTAGGTTCTCTCTGGATACATTTATTTATCTGGCAGCACATAAAGTGAAGTATCCGAAGCAGTTTTTCTTGCTCCGAGGAAATCATGAATGCAGAACTGTCAATGCTGCTTACGGCTTTTATTCAGAGACACTTCAGAACTTTGGACATTCCGGTATTTGGTTACTTTGCAACGAAATCTTCGATTTATTACCTTTAGCCGCCGTTATTGATAATAAAATATTTAGTGTTCATGGAGGGTTATCTCCTCGTATCACATTAATCGATTCAATCAATATGTTTGATAGACAGATCGATTTACCGACTTCTGGACCGTTTGCAGACCTAGTTTGGAGCGATCCAGACGCAGATTGCACAGAATGGCGGCCAAATGTTAGAGGAGCTGGATGGATGTTCGGAAAACGTCAAGTAGACGCATTTTGCCATCAAAACAAGATTCAACTGATAACACGTTCTCATCAGCTTGCAATGAATGGTTTCCAGAGTTATTTCAACGACAAACTTTACACTGTTTGGTCTGCTCCAAATTACATGTACAGAGCAGGCAACAAAGCAACAGTTATGAAAATTGAACTTGATTCAGGTAAATTTTACAGCCTGACTTACTTCGAAGCATGTCCTAATGACAAAAGAAAGATTGTTGAAGACACATCTCTATCCCAATACTTTGTTTAAATTTCTAAATTTTATTTGTTTGTTTATTATATTCTAATCTATCACTATTTCTATAAGGATTTAAAAATATCATCGTTTTTTGACGAAATTATTGATTATAATCTCAGAATTGCGAAATTAAAAATAAAAAAGTGACAAAATTATTGAGAATATGGAATCATATGAACCTATTATAAAAACTAAAGGGATCATTGAAGGGAAGTTTTGCCCAGATGATGATATACCAATGATTGATGTTTCTTATGAAAATTCAATATTTTTCATTACTTCATCGATTACAATTCGAAATGAATTAGTTCAGAAGTTTGCATTTGGAAGAATGCTTGGAGAAAAATGCATTTTAAGTGCATACGAAGTATTTTTCTTATATGATGTATGTAAATCAGTCAACATTTCATTTAATAGAAAAGAATTATGGGACATTTGCTCAGGATTGTCTCAAAATGGCATTTTTGCTAGGAATTATTCTGTTTATAGATATTATAGGTCGTTATTATGGGTTGTTAGGGATGGATCCGTATTTGGATGCGAATTTGTATTATATCATGATCATCCAGAAGTAGTTCATTCATCTTTTATCGTTAGAATTCTAGAGAACTGGGATAATTTTGAAAATGAAGCCTTAACCATTACAAGAATTGGCTGGTTTCTCAAGAAGAGAGGAATTCTCTGTGTTGTTAAACATACAGATAATATTGACTACTCTGATCCAGATTCTGTTGATTTATTCGAAATTGAATCCTTCATTGTTAAGAGAGTTAAGTTCCGCTAATTACATTGAGAAGTAATGGATCTAGATCTATTGTTAGCATATACCTTTTATTTTATACTCAATGTTTTCTTGACTTTTTCTTGACTTATTTCTTGATATCTATTATAGTTTTGTTTGTTATTCCATAAAAGTATATAATATTGTTTAAATTCATTTATCTTTTTTTGTATCCTTATTCTTACATCGTCACTTTTTATGGAAAATTGCCTATCCCAAAGCAACTCATTATTTCCAATTAATTATTAGTATTTGCAATTAATGGCATGACAGATCAAAATTTTAAACTGAAAATATTTAAAATTGAGAAGGAATTTTTTTGCTTATCGTACAGAACAAATTATGGCGCCTTATCCTATTTATTTTGCCTTCTCTGTTTGTGTTTTTCTCACAACCATATCACCATACATTCATAAGGGTATGACGCCTTTTGCTGTATGGACGCTGATTTGTCAGCAAAAAAAACTTTTTTTAGGGAGTTTTAATCTCTTGATGTCAATAATATACGCGTTATGCTGCATATTTCAAAATAAAGTCATCGGTAAAACAAATTCGTCGATTTTAGATTCTGTAAAAAAGAACGTTCAACTACTTTTAATACAATTAGTGATTTATCATGTTGGAATACCAAATGAGATCACCATGGAGTTTTTCACATTTGCCATATACGTAGGATTACGTGCATTTGGTTTTCTACTGCTTGGCCGAGTAAATTCAATTTATACTCTTCCGGCCGAGCCAAAACTGAAAGTCCACATAGGACTTCTTACAGCAGAAATGATTTGCTTATTCATCAACTTCCATTTTATAATCTATCATATGCACAAATTCTCAGTTTCAAATCGAATCGCCGCTTATCATGTCCAAATTTACCTTGTCGCGCTTATAGAAATACTTCAATGCTTACGGTTACATCATATTTTCATTCTTGATCACAGACAACTTGGAAATTCCTACGAAAGTTGTTCAAAGAAATTTCATTGCGATATGGCAGCTGATGTCGTTAAAATGATCGTTCTCTTCTTATACATCTTATGTGCCGGATCTATCAAATCGTTACCTAGTCTTCTTTTCTCATTATCAAATTTATTTATTGCCATATTCAGTTTAACTTCACGTCTTCAAGCAATTCGAGTCTGGCATGGCATACTGGATGTAATTAACAAGGAATTACAAGATGCTACCCCTGAAAATTTACAAGTTGACTCAATATGTCTAATTTGCCGTGATTCCATGACAATTGGTAACGCGAAGAAGCTTCCATGTGGTCATGTCTATCACCTCGAATGCCTAGAAAAGTGGATTTCCCAACAAAGTGTCTGCCCAATCTGCCATTACGACCTTACGAACTTCCTTAAAGGAAAACCAGAGGAAGAAACTCCAGGACAGACAGCCCTGAGAGTTTTAACAGAGGTTAGACATGATGTTTTCGATAAAAAGATCGAAGGAAGAATTCCGGGCCAAGACAACGCCCTGGAATATTTCCAAAATCTGGAAATGCATATTAGAGATAATTTGTCAAGCGATGATGATGAAGATTTGACAATTACTTCAATGAAATTTTCGGATTTCGATAAAGACCACATTGGAGAGCCAGAAGAAGAAAAGAATGACAATGATAACTTAACTCTTACAAATATAATCGAAAATCTTGATGATTCAAATCAACCTCAAAATGAAATCGATTTCGCAGCCATAGAAGAGGAAGATGTTACAGAATTTGACTTCAACAGCTTTTTGGATATAGTTTCCGACCAAAATAATGAAAATAATGATGAAATAGAAGAAGAAATTGTTGAACCGCCAAAACCGAAACAGAAACCTGCTAAAAAGCATAAGGATAGTCACCATGTACAAGAAAATGAATTTTCTGGCGAAGATGAAGAGATTTATCAGAAATTTAATTCAAAAATTGATGAAATGGAAAATATGGTGTATCAAATGGAGAATAGCTTGCAGAGTATGAGAGAAGAACTGAAGTTATTGTTCCAAAAACGAAATCAAAAGAAATAATTTTATTATATTTAAGTTTTTATTTATATATATTTATATATTTGATTGTTGTGATGTAAGGAAAATCAAAAAAAATATTTAAAACTAAAAAAATTCTTTTATTGAGTGGATAATGTTATTCTCTAAATATTTAATTGATAATAGGTCTTGAGTTAGGCTTTAAAAAGTGATTGACAATGGCTCGTAAATACCTCTAAATTTATCAATACGTTCTTTGATCAAAATTGATCAACAAACCGCCGAAGACTTCTTTGTGTTGATAATTTAATCATTTATTATTGAAAAGCATTGTACCACATTCAATGATAGCATTAGCACGCTTTAACTAATTACACAGTTTCAATTTATCGGTGCATGGAGCTTTATTGGGCGAATTAAAGTTTATTCAAACATATTAGACTGACAACTAGTATGTCTAATCTCATGATATTCCAGTTGCAGTATCTTGATTGATGTGCTTGTGAATTTGGAATTGAGCCTTTGAGAATTGCAAGGTCAATCGGGAACATTTCTTTATCGACTCATGGTAATTGTGTATCGAAGATGGAATAATGGTGTTATTGATTAATCACAATATTTCTGGCGAATTTTTACCAAAATTTTCATATGTCAAATTGTCACTTTTCATATTATGCAAAAGAAAAAATTTGAATTAAAACAACGGCGATCGAATGATATGAATCTTTCTAGAGTTCGTTATTCTGTCCTTATTGCTAGATATCCTCAAAACACGCCTCTAAATACAATTATCAATTTTATTCAATCACTTGTTAAAAGTAAAACTATGAGTATCTTAGATATTAGAAATTTAAGGACAACACCAAATGGTATTGCGTTTTCTGTACCAAATGATAATCAATTTAAAATAGTTTTGAGTTTAAATGGTTCAATGATTTCGCAAACAAGATTATGGATTACACGCTACCCAGACTCTGTTAAAAAGGAGAATCACATTCTAGATAAGATATTTCAATTGAATTTTTCGAATAATACAATGGATTTATCCGATATATTTGGAAAAATGTGTCAAATTTCCCCAAAAGGTCATAGTTTTAATATAACAGATCAATCACATCTAGAGTATCTATTTTTCTACCTTGGAAGCGAAGCACTTTCAAAAAATATAAAAATACGAGCTCTAAATCTATCCAAAAACTACATCTCCATCATTGACAATCTAAACAATCTCTTATGGTTTCTTCCTGACCTTAAAACATTAGATCTTTCACAAAATCCAATTAATTTTCTTCCAAATTTAAATCCAGAGTTCTCTGGAATAAATATAATTGCACCATTCGGTATTACAAGACCATTTAATCAGCAGAATTCTGGTTGGCAGCAACCAAATCAAAATTTTATGAACCAAAATCCATTTGGATTTAATCTTCCGATGGGTTATGCACCTCCACCATATGCAAATTACCAACAAAACATGTATCAGCCTCAAATGGGCTTTTATCAACAACCTTTTCCAAATCAGGCACAATTCAACCAATATCAGCCAATGATGGGTTCGCCTCAGCCATCGTTTCAATCTTCTAATCAATCTTTTGGTAAATCTGGGTCATGGAATGGAAAATCACGTTCTAAACACGTAAATTCGAATAAAGGACCTAAAACTGTGAAAGTCACAGTGACAGTAGACCCAAATAATAATCCTGATGACCCAAATTACGTCCCAATTCACGAATGGGGAAAACCCGTTGATAATTCATTACAAAATCAACAAAATCTGGTTCAACCTAATTTAGCAAGAAGAGATAGCAACGACAAGCCATTTGATATCTCAGGAGGATACAGAAGACGTCCTTGAAAATTAAATTTTTTTTTTGTTCCATTTTTTCGAGCACATTGTCTGTGCAAGAATCTATGAACGAAGAACCTCAATCTAATATTTGAAAAAAAAAAATTAATAGAAATTGTTTTATTTCAATATCTTTCATTTTTGGCTGAATTTTTCGAGCCTATTGCATTCATCATTCTTTTTATTAAACTTATAAAATAGTTATTTCCGCAATAATAATTTTTTCCACTTTAAATTTGCGTAATTGAGCCAAAGCAACTCTTTCAAATGGTTTTAATCAGCAGATTAAACAAATGCTATATGATATCTTCTTTATTTCTTACATTATATTGAATCTTATATCTGATTTGTTACAAAAAGCATTCACACATGATAATAAAGATCACGTACGCACTGGAGTAATTTTAAAGTCTAAATTCGTATAGGATACCTTTTTGATTAGGTCAGAATTAGACAAACAAAATCTCAAATTGACACTTTACATGTCAAAATTAATCCTTCACGTATAAATATTCAATGAAATCTAGTGCTCCATCCAAATCAAAACCTGAAGAATACTCATTCGACAATGACCTTCCCGATCCGATGTCTAAATCTTTTCTCAATCGTAGTTTGATCGATCCATGGAGAAGAACTGATAAAATGGATTGCACAGAAACACAACTGCCTGCAAATCAAATATGGACTCAGTTACAACAACAAATGTTTGAATTACAAGATATTGCACGTCATAGAGGTGTTCCAAACACAACAGAACCAATTTTTACTTCTCCTTATCCACAATAAATTTTCGTTTGCTTGTTTGATATGAATAAATAGTATATATTATGTAAAACATACACAAAATCTTTCAAAGAAATAGTTTAGTTCAAATTTACAAACAAATATGATATGTTTTTAAATAATTGAGACAAATTCACTATCAGATCCAGCAACAGCTAAAACATAATGTTGAAGCATGTAAGCAAGTTCATCTGGATCATCCTGCATCTCAAGCCTCATGATTTTCATGAAGTTTTCTCTTGGAATTACAACTTTCATTGTTTGATTTAAATCTATTGATTTGGCATGCTTGAAACCAGCATTGATGCATCTATCTTTATGTGATGCAACTGTTGGATACATCTTAATGCCTTTTAGAGGAGCTCCAAAGCCATCAAAATTCTTAACCATCATTTTGCCAAATTGGTCATCTGGTTTGACCATACCATAGCTAATGAAGGCATTTGACTTAAGTGATGCTGCAAATTTAAGGATTTCGTCAACAGAAACTGGATCGACGTAAATAAGTGTACATTCATCAATAAATATTGTAGGAATATCTTCAAATCCGTGTGAATTAAGCTCTTGCTTAACCATTTCTGGTTTTGATAAGTCGGCATAGAATAAATGATAATTATCCATCGGTTCGAAGCTATTGCTATTGATAACTTTAGATTTCTTATTGACAACATGTTGCATATCTAAGTCAAACCAATTCTTGACTGTAATCTTTTCGTCTCTGAGCCTCCAGAATAAAGTATCGTAACCACAGCCCAAAACAACAACTTGCATATTGGATCCGTGAATTTCATGGAATTTCTTGACTGCTACATAGATTGCCTGCGTTCTAACATAGTAACCAAGATTCATTGGAGGCAATTGCTTTAATTCTTGAGGAACGAAGCAGCCAATATACCTATCATGGTAATAACCGCGCTGGACAGCACTTAGTTTTGCATTGGCGGCATCCATTGCGGTATCCTCGACTGAGCCAAGTTCTCTAAAAGCACTCATTGATTTTTTTGAAAAATATCACGCTTCATATTAATCTAATACTATCACAATAACATATGCATTATGTTCCTCAAGATCTATTGAATGATTTGAAGGAAACTAGATACATATTTTTTTATTGTTTGCATTTCGTAAAAATCATTATAACAAAACAATATATCTTTTTAACTATGTCACAAAATCAATCATAACATTTGAATAGATCAAAATGATATTTATAAAAACACAATTACAACATTTTTAGTAGTATTAAAATGAATATCCGTAGAATATGACTGATATTGAGATTACTTGCAGCAGTTATCAAAAGGTTTTGTAGGTGGTTTAGCCTTTCCTTCCTGTTGATCATCTAATCGCACGCTTTTATTACCATCATCATTATTTACCTTTTTAGAGAGAATATCTTCTCCTAATGTAGCAATTTGAGTAAATAAATCTTCAATTCCTTCACCAGTCTTTGAGGAAGTAACATAGTAGCTAGATATTTGGCATTCAGTTGCTTTTTCTGATAGTTGACTTAATACTTTAGTTCTATTTTCGGAAAAAACTAAATCTAATTTCGTTCCGACAGCAATAAGAGCGCATGACGGTTCGTGAGCGAGAACTCTTTCTTTCCAAAGAGATATGGTATCAATAGTTGAAGGCTCGCTAAGATCTACACAAATCACAGCTAGATGTGCATCTCGATAAAAAACTTGACTCAGAGATTGAAACCTTTCTTGCCCAGCTGTATCCCATAATTGCATCATGATTTCCTTACTAGATGCTGATGTGGCTGATTTTGGAGTGAAGATTGGGTTCACTGTTGTTTGTTCAGTGGATGAAAACTCACCGTCAACATAACGGTTCATTAATGCTGTCTTGCCAACTTGGGAATTTCCGACAAAAATGACGCGAAGGTCCTCAGATGACATTTTAGGAAATTTGGATTATTTTTGACAATTTTTTAAATTGAGATCCGAATAAATTATGATAATGCTTAGCAATTAGTATGTAATCATGTGATATAGGGAAATTTCGATGAGGATCCGAATTGAAACGAAAATCAAATGATTTATTTATTTTTTCATGATATATTACTCCTTGCCAGGAATATTTTGGTTGGCCTGCAGTATTATAATGCCACGTTTATGATTATTGATCATTAATGCTGAGTGACTTCTAGATTTCATGACATTAAAGTTAATGGAGAAATCGAAGAAGCAAGGAGAATTTAAACCTCCTGCAAGGTTAGTACAAGATAATAATACCGAGAAAGAATCATCCAATAAAACAAAAAATTCAGGGTCATCTACATCAAATTCCAAAAAATCGACAAACAATAGCGATAAATTAGCAGTTCCTACTATAAAAGAAATACAATCAATGACGTCCCCAAAACCATCTAACGAAATTCCAACACCAGATCAAGATATTTTTGATCTTGAAGAGGAAATGCTTTCACAGTCACAGAATTATGATGACTATTCGTCAACAAAAAAAGCACTAAGTTCTGCTCAAAAACGATCTCAAATTGAAAAAAATATTTTGGAAACTCCCGAAAAGAAAAATAATGAAAAGCAGAAACCTGAGAAAAACAATAAGTTTAGCGAATCATCAAGTCAACAAGATGAATTAGAAAAAGATGAAGATTCAAAACCAAATAAAAAGGATAAGAAACAGAAAAACAGTCCAAAAACATCATTGTCTACGAAGATAAAAGACACATTCGATAATATCGAGACTCCTACGCGAAAACATATTCCTTTAGAAGAAAAAAGTTCATCTTTACATGAAAAAGAAAATAATAACAAAGAACAAGAAATAAAAGCTCCCGAACCTACAGAAATTTCTGGAAATGAAGCAGAACAAAAATTAAATGAAAATAACGAATCAAACAAACAAAACCAAAAGGATCAACCAAGACCAGATGAAAGTAATAAAGAAAACCTAACTAAAACTCCAGAAAAAACAAATAATTCTTCTGATTCGCCAGTTCTTCTTCAACAACCACTAAAAGGCGATAAAAACGATACAGAAGGAACAGATCAACCAGAAACTCCAACAAAAAGAAAAAGAGGAAGACCTCGGAAGAATCCGAACGGAGAAAGCAAACAAAGCACTCCAAAGAAGCCACTACAAAGTCCAAAGAATAGTCCTTTAACGGTTTCTTCAGTAAACGCAGAAACTCCTAAAAATTTACAAAATAATTCTCCGAAAACTTCAGAAAAACATGAAGAATTGCAAAAAATAGATGATGCTACAAAGGAAAACACAGATAACAAACAAGAAATAAATAATAATGAAACTAAAATTGAAAATACTGTTGATAATACATCAAAATTAGATAAATTCGAACTCTTACTAGAGGAAATCACTGGTCCATCGTTAGAGCATCTTTCTCCTGATTTTAGAGAGTTTCCAGAAAAAATTATTGAAAAAACTTTGGATAGCAGCAAAACAGCAACAGTCCAACAAGAAGAGAAACCGAAAGAAGAAGAAAAACTATCATCACCACCTCCAGAACCTCAAAAACCAGTAGAAGAACCTCCAAAAGAAGAAAAGAAAGAAAATGCGGAAAAACAAGAAACTCCTGAAAAAACAGAAGTCAAAAGAAAGAGAGGAAGACCTAGGAAGAATGTAACTGACTCCGAAAAAGAAGTAAATAGACTTAGAGTTCCTAAAAAGAAAACATCCGAAAAAGAATCAGTCAAACCTTATACAAAAGTACCAACTCTCAATACAAAAGTAATTAGTATTGATTTCGGAAGTCCTCTTGTCATAAACAGGCTCGCAAGAAGCAGACAATACATTCATCTCAACGGAAAGGGCACAATTTCTCTGAATGGAAGAAAATATTCGGTTGATCAGCCAGAAGAAGGGCAAGAACACCCAAGAATTTACGCTGCTCCCGAAGTTGACCTTTCATTCGAATGTAATGATGAAAATGAAACATTCAAACTTCTGGAACTTACATTCCTTTGATTGGCTTGTATTTTGTTTTTGTTTTGTTATGATAATTTTTACTTTAAACACAATTCTTATTTGATATTAGATTTTTGGATAAGAATTTCAGACCATCATTAAAGTAGTATAATACCATTTAAATTTGTAAAGTCTTTTTGGTAATAAAAAAAAATTATAAATTAATTTTGCTTTTGTAATGCCTTAAACTTTTATTGGTAACATACTTTTTTGTAGCGTTATAAATTAAAGAAGTATTAAAAAAGTTTATTGCTGGCGTGCACCTGCGCGGCGTGTGAAAACCTCAACACCTTCCATTTCGCCAAGGCCGATAGCGGCAAGCATCTCCTTTGTTTCTGGGTCGACTAAGATCTTTGGAACGTTAAGCTTGGAGGTTGTTGGCATCCAGTTATCACGCTTCTCACGCTCCTGCTCCTGAAGCTTGAAGGAAATACCACGAACTGGTCCACGTTCAAGACGGCGCATAAGGTGGGTAACGTAGCCGGCGATTTTATTGCGCATGCGCTTTGATGGAATATCAGCGACAGCATCGCAAACACGCTTGTTGTCTTGGAAATCGAAGGAAAGTTGGCCGTAGAAACGCTCAATAACAAGGCGAGCGGCTCTCTTGGTTGTCTTTGTACGAATACGTCCCATTGTTGAAAAGGGGGCCAAAACCGCTATAATCGTTGCTCTACTATATTTTTTTGATTACCACAAATTGAGTATGCGAGTAAAGTTACGAGCGGTTAATGTGTAATTTACTCTAAATTATTTTTCCTATTTCCTAAATTAATTAAATTCAATTCATTGCCGAAGAAAGAGAAGAGTTTGTGCTGCATGTCATTAATTATATTCAATCCATTGGAGATATTTGATTAAATGGCCTATATCTGATCACAAGATAATGATGTTAAGCATTAATTCACCATCTCATAAAAATGCCGATGACCTTTGTGAGAAACACCATCTCCAATATGCATATTGGGACTGCCGTATTTTGTCCTCAGGTAATCCATGTGGAATTGAGAAAATTGAGAAATTTAAAATAAAAAATCGAGAGTAAATTGTTGGGATAGAATCACAGATTTTGTGATACCAGAACTTATGAGAATCGGATAAATATAGGATGCATGCTCTTTTATTAATAGTTGCAACATATCCCATCATCAATTCATCTGGGATACAAGGTTTTCCTCTCGAGAAATACTCATAAACTTAGGCCTTTAAATAGCTACAATACACATCAATTGGTCGAATTCCTTCCATCTGAGGCACATTGCCTGAGCAAAAGTCTCTGAAAGAAAGAAGAATAGTAACCAAAACTTTATTGTGCATCGCAAATTTCATTATATTTTTAGATAACATTTGTTGCTGCATACGAACAAGCACACATATTAATTGGAAATATCGTGAGTGTTTTTACTCAAAAAAATGATAACTCATCAAAGAGGAAGATAATCACATCTTAACTATGGTATATATCTTAATAATTTCAATTTCTGAGAGTCTATATAATATCAATTTTAACTCAGTATTGTCCAAATTGCATAAGAAGAAGAATATTCGGAATCTATTGAGAAATGTCACTTTTAATTTACAAATTTTCATTGAATTTTGAAAATCTCTCTCAGAGCATCAAAATATGATAATTATTACTTTCAATTGCATTACATTGTATCTATTATATTATTTTTGCACAATTCTCAACAATCAAATTGAGCGGATTTGTAAAGTCTTGGTCGATCCTTTCTAGCTCTAATGTCGAGCCGCAACTTCTCTCGTACATTCAAGAAACCAATGCGTCCATACGAAAAGGAACGCATGCACAAGGAACTTCAAGTTGTTGGTGAATACGGTCTTAAGAACAAGCGTGAGATCTGGCGCGTTTCATACACACTTTCCAAGATCCGCCACGCTGCTCGTGAGCTTCTTACCCTTCCAGAGAACGATTCCAAGCGTATCTTCGAAGGTGCAGCTCTTCTTCGCCGCCTCACAAAGCTCGGTGTTCTCGATGAGTCCAAGCAAAAGCTCGATTATGTCCTTTCTCTCACAGTCAACGATCTTATGGATCGCCGTCTCCAGACACAAGTTCACAAGCGCGCTCTTGCAAATTCTGTCCACCACGCTCGTACTCTTGTTTCCCACCGCCACATCTCTGTCGAGAACCAGCTTGTCAACCAGCCAGCTTTCCTTGTTTGGAAGGAATCTGAGAAGAACATCAAGTACGCAGATACCTCCGTCATGGCCACCGAGAAGCTCGGCCGTAAGAAACGTATGCGGGCTCATGCACAGACAAAGAAGGCTGATGAGGAGTAAATAAAATTCCAATGTCCATAAAATATTATCAAGCAAAAAAATATCACAATTATTTTTTTGGACAATTTTTTACCAAAGATTATAAAATAATAAGATCTATATCATTCACTAACATTTATTTTTCATAATTATTTTGCTTGATTTCCTCCGTTTTATAATTCATACGAATTTTATCTGAATTTTATTCAAAAATTGAGATATGAACGCACTAAATATTAAATAAAAAGTGACAATGATTCCGAATCCTCAATATGTTTCTCAGTTCGAACATTCAATATTTCAAAGCATAATTATAGTAACATGCGCAATATTCGGATTATTGTTTGTTGCATTCTTTTATCAATACGAAATGATGAATAATCCATCAATTACATTTTTCAACACAACATTAAGGCGCTCAAGCAGAATTCCATCAAAGCATATAGTAAAATTAGTAAAAATACGTGAGAATTTCCCTGTCAATCCGAATAATTTAATTATCGACAAATTAACACCTCATAAATACCCTTCAGGAGATAAATTGAAGTTCCAAACGCATGATAAAGTAGTCAACTACGCTCAAAAACTATCAACATCATATGCAATTTTGCAAAATTTATACATAAATTCATGGAGTTTGTTCTCTAATGGTGAACATGTTTATGTTATGGAAGGATATAGAGCATTTCGTTACATTTATACGCAATACAATCATACTCTCATCGGAAAATATGATTCTGTGATTGCAATTGGCGATCGCTATGCAGAAGAATATGGGCATTTCTTTGTTGACGTATTAGCACCATTGATGTGCATTCCTCGTGAAGTTTGGCCCCACTCTCACATAGTAGTTAAAGAGAATTTGTCTTATTGTACGGATCTACTAAATGCTCTTAATTTTACCAACGATAGAATAATCCATCTCAAAGATGGCGAATGGATATTTGCGAAAACCATCCATACAACGCTGTATCCTTCATCTTATTTCCGACATCCAGCAACAGCTCATGCAAATCTCTCCATATTACTTAAACAGGCTTACGGTGTTGAACATGCAAAGCCAACAAGATATGTATTGATGAATCGCGACAAAAGCTTGAAAAGAAGAAGATTAGCAAATTTGGACGAAGTTAAAGAAATTGTCCAAAAATTATATCCAACCATAGTTTGGGAAGATCTAAGTGATTTCTATCCAACAATTAAGGCTGCAGCTAGATCTTTTTCAACAATTAAATTGTTGTTCGGAATTACTGGTTCAAATCTTGTTCGTGCTGTTTTTATGCAGCCAAAATCAGTACTAGTGATTGCTCAGCTCAATTTCAACGACTACAACATGATGGCGATTTCCTTAGTAAATGATTTGATGTATTTCGCATTCAGCACTAAAGGATACGGGCACTACACTGAAAAGCCTGTTTACTTGGTCATTGATGATGCATTGAGAGCAATAAAGATCGGAATTTATGCAGCACAGAATGGAGAGTTTCCTAAGAATTCTACAGAGTATCACTACATTCCATAATATATATTATATTATTGTATTTTATGTTTTATATATTAAATATTTCTTTCTGTTTGTTTTTAAAACGATTCTATAAAACATATAAAAGATCATCTTTCTTCATGAATATTAATTGATGTTGAGACTAAAGTTTATTTTGCATATTGATGTATTCAAATATTGATGTGGTCTAATAGTATAAAGAATTTAATAAACAAAAAAACAAAATATATATAAACATGAAAATTATTCAATTATTGGACTAGAAGCTGAAGGGTTATATGACAATCTTCTATTCATGCTGAACGAAGACCTTCTATGAGATCCAACTCTCAAATCAGGCTGAGAAGAAGTGTTGTTCAAGAACGCGTTGAGGAAGTTGTCTCCAACAACAGTATTTTCTACAACAGGAGGTCCGTTCGAAAGGTACTCCACAGAGAAGGAGCTCCTCCTCCTGAGCTTCCTCGAAGGATGAGTGCTCCTCCACCCGTTGAACACCCTCTTCATGAAAGCCCTCTGTCTCTTCTCGATGAAGAGTTTGACCTCCCAGTCGTTGTCTGTGAACTTCTTCGCTTCCTTGGAGGACGGAAGAGGGACTTTCGGAGGGCGTTTGCGCGGCCAGTACTTCTCCGACTGAGCTCTGTCTTCGTCTGTCATAGATGCATCGGAAAACAGCTGAGATGACATGGAATTTCGCTGCTCAACAAGCTCACGACGTAATTGCGATTCAAATGAAAGATCTGAGAATTTTTCACCATCGGAATCATCGTCGTTTTGCTTTAAAGAGGCTTTTCTCTGGATATTTGAATAAGATTTCCTTCGTTGAGTCACAGCGAAGTTGGCAGGTGGTTCAATTAACTTTATTGGAGTCATTGATTTGGATAAAAAGTCATCTTGTTCAATAGTAAGCTGGGATTGTGATTGTATTCTAAATAATTTTGGTTTTTGATCAGCAGTAAATGAAAGTATACTGTTTGGATCAACAACAAGCTTACTGTGAGGGTTATTGTTAATGATTTCTGGTACTTCTGTCTTTTGAGGGTTATTCTTCTGAGGTAGCAATTTTTTCTTCTTTGGAGATGGGCTTTTGTTAATATCTAAGTTGTTTATGTCTGATTTGGGATCATACTGGCTTGCAATTTCGATGCAATCTTGAATCAAGCGGCTGGCATTCGGATCGTCCTTAAACGCATCTCTAATTATGTTGGTAAAGTCCTGATCTGCGTGGAAGCCGCCGATGTTTAAATCGTTTCCCAGCTGTAATTTCATTACTTTGGCTAAATCATCCATTTTATCGCATGATTTCATGACATTTAAGAATTTCACGTGGTTTTCTGATAGTTTCTTATCATGCTTAGGAGTTAATTTCGAGGAAATTGAGTTGCATGAATTAATGCACTTAGATATTATGTAATTCTTGTAGGGCTCTATATCTTGAGGGCCACCACTAGCGAATTTGCGTCGAAACTTCGATAAATCTTCTGCTTTGATTTTTTTACGTAATAAATTTGAAATTTCCGTAGTTGGTGTCTGTGGTAAGCGATTTTTCTGCTGAATAATGAAATTTGTCAAATCTAAATAGTACACTGCCTTTGTTAAATCGTCTTCCATCATCGCGAATTTGACGTTCTCTTTGTTAACAGGTTTTCCATTTAGCATTTCGAGTTGCGGACAGAATTTTAATACGTGATATTCCCAAAATGGATAGTAGCACACAGGATTTCCGTTCAACTTTAATTCTTTCAGTTGTTTTAGATTTTTAAGTGGAGCAATATCATCAATATACTGTATTTCGTTGAACTCAGCCATTAATCTCCTCAGCTGGTGAAACTGATCAACGTTCCTTAAGTTCGAAATTGTATTGTGAGAGACAAACAGGTCAGTAAGTGACTGGTATTGAAGTGGTACGATATCTATTTTGTAAACATTTTGCGATGTAGCTCTGGCTTGAAGAGAAGGTGGACTTTTCTTCAAAACATTGCTCAATAACATTTTTATAGAAAAGTGACAAATTCTCCAAAATTGTAAACTATACAACAAAATCTCTCCCAAAATAAGGATGTCAATTCAGAAAATTGTTTTCGTTTTAGGAGAATATAATTTTCCATTTGGAAAATTTAAAAAGTGAGACGCGCAGGATTCGAACTTTTTTAAAAGTTGATTTAAATATATTCTAGTGTGGAATCTAAGGATAATATCATATTTAAAATAAGAATATACGAGTTTAGGTAATATTATTTTTTTCGATAAATTTGAGAGTATGTACGTTTAGGGCATCAAAAGTGTCAATTTGCTCAGCGAAAGCTGAGCTAGCTTCGTTCTCGAAAAAATAGGGAAGAAGTGAAGGAGAGTGATACAGATGTTGACACATTCATATAATTTCAACAAATTTGATCAAATTGAAATTCAATGAAATTCAATTCACTTCATATCCTTCAGTCAGTACATTGACATCCTTCTACATCACAATGATAACTCGGGAATCAATAGTTCTACAACTAACTCAGAAAAAAAACAAGATTTTTACTTCCAGCTTGCAGCTTTTAAAAAGTTTCGATGATAAAAATCACTCTACTCTTGTTTATAGATATGTGATGATAGTAGGTAAACATATTCTTATCGATTTTAATAAAAATATTTTTACGAAAATCTGAACCAATTACAGAGTTATTCATAAAGTTTATGATAACTGTAATTATTTCATCTTTGTTTTATATTTGAATAAACAATTTAATTTAAATTGCATAATATTTTTTGGTTGAAAGAGAGGAAACTCAGTTGAGTTTGTATTATTTTTATCGTTTAATTCATCGTATCAGTGAGTGATCCAGATATTTAAGATATTTAGAAAAAAATTATTAATTTGATTAACAAATTTTAATCAAAATAGCAAAAATCTATTTGATAGCTGTAAACAAACAATAATTTTTATTTCAAGCAAAATCACTTATTTTCATCTAAACGTATAAAATTGTCAATTATATAAAAATAAATTGAAAATCTCAAGAAATGTAAAGGAGAGTAATATTTTTCAATTTTCTTTTTTTCTTTGTCTCAAATATTTTCTGTTGGGAATTTTCTTGTTATCAAAAAATAATTTTAATATTTGTTTATTTTATTACATACAATAAAATTTTAAAAACTCTATTTCTTCTCAAGAAAATTTTTTTCCTTCATATGAAGAAACATTTTGTTCTCCATTTGATACTGAGTCTAAATCTCGATTTTTGAATTTTCTTCTTTCCAAATTTCTTTTTTCCAAATTAGAAGTTTAATTCAAATTTTCAATAGTTTATATATTTTCTCAAACCGTCTCAGATTTTCTCACTTTTTAGGGATTTTCTCTCAAAATATACAAAAATAGTAATATCAATACATGTGTCTAATATACTTTAAAACCATCGTGACAAAATTCAAAAACGAAGAGTTCTTCTCTCCAAATTTTTTTCAAAATCAAAAAAATGAGATAAAAAAGTACGTTTGGAAAATTCATTTTTAGCATTTTAGGAATTTTCTCACTTTTCTTCCAAATTGACATCCTTACCCAAAATAATTGGATTTCTCTCCCTTTTTATTATTTTTATATTTTTATTTTTTTATTTTTTTTCAGGAAAGCTCTTAGATGTTGAAAAGGAATAACCTGCTAAAGTCTAGTCTCTTGCTTTACCAATTGTCTTATCAGATTTGGCACCTAGTGAAAATAGAAGTCTCGTTATCATCAGAAATGGATTCATTATCATGATTTTCACCAGGAGCAATAAGCTGTTTCCCTAGTTCAGAATGTCCTTGATTCCATGTTGAATAATAAAGAGGAGAATTTCCAGATTTAGATCTGGCAGTTATATCTGCACCATGTGAAATAAGGAGCTTCATTATTTCTTCATCTTTATGAAATGCTGCATTATGAAGAGGGGTTTCTCCGAATTCATCTCTAGCATTTGTATCCGCACCATGTGAAAAAAGAAATTCTGCTATTTCTTTGCTATGAGACATTGCTGCAAAATGAAGAGCGGTATTTCCATCTTCATCTTTTTCATTGATGTCTGCGCCGTGTGAAATAAGTAGTTCTGCTGTTTCTGTGCTTTTATTATTTGCTGCTTCATGAAGAGGCGTTTTACCCTTTTTATCTTTAGCATTGATATCTGCGCCATGAGAAATAAGCATTTCTGCTAATTCTTTTCTATTACTGTATGCTGCTAGATGAAGAGTGGTTCTTCCGTCCTTATCTTTAGCATTGATATCTGCACCATGTGAAATAAGAAACTCTGCTATTTCTTTGCAATTGTGCGTTGTTGTTTCGTGAAGAGGTGTATATTCACGATAATTTTTAGCCATTACATTCGCCCCGTGTAAAATAAGAAATTCTGCGATTTCTTTACTATTTTGATAGGCTGCATAATGAAGAGCGGTTTTTTCATTTATATTTTTTTCATCGATATTCTTGCAATGTAAAACAAGAAGTTCGGCTGTTTCTTTGCTATTACATTCTGCTGCAATATGAAGAGGGGTTTTTCTATAACAACTGCATTCAGCACCAATATTTGCACCATGTGAAATAAGAATTTCTGCAGTTTCTTTGCTATTACATTCTGCTGCAATATGAAGTGCGTTTTTTTTATCATCATTTTCAGAATATATTTTTGCACCATGTGAAATCAAATATTCACAAAGTTTAACATCAAAGAACCTTGGTGAATAAACCAAACACATATTAAAATCATGTGTTTGATCTAAATAAACTAAAAATGCATGAGGATTGCTGAACTCCGTACAATATTCCAAATTAATTTTAATGTTGTATTCATTCATTAAGAATGTAACAAAATCAATGTTGTGTGAAATAATTGCATATTTCATGCAATCTTTATTTGGTTTCTGATATTTCAAACATTCGCTCATGATCTCTGGATTTCCACTTAAAAATGAAAATTCGAGACATAATTTGGTTATTTCTGAGTTAAATTTTGTTCTTAAAAACTTGAAACAATTGACTGATCCATGATAACAACACAGCTCAAGGAGTGATAGCTTATCGACAGGATATAAGTCGTTAGCTATTTTTTGTTTGTGATCAAAACCTTCTCTTTCCGTGAATGATATAAATAAATTTTTATCATCATCCATAATAGCTTTGCCTGTTGTGTTTTCTTCATGAACGTTTGTATCAATATCTTGATGCTTTTTAAAATGTTCTGTGCCACATTCTTCTAGCAATATTCCATATTCTTTGTAAAAGAGATATTCAAAACAAACATTGACATTTTTTATAATTTTGGGATGAAAATCATCATATATTTGCTTAACTAATTGTAAATATGACTTAATGCAGCGATTATTATATGTATACAATCGTGATATGATTGCTATTATGGTTTGTGGAAGATATTTCTTTGTTTTAAGCAAATTCGTTTTGAACATATTGTAAATTGATTTTCTCTCTTCTGCATTGTTCGTTTTTAATTGATATAATGCATTAAAAGAGTCAATATAATCTTTAAGGATATCCATCAATTCATCGAGTTGAATTGGAAGATCTCTAAGGCCTGACATTAAAAAATCTAAAAAAAAAGTCATTATTATGCACTTCGTTTGGAGAAAAATCTTATTTTGGGGAAAATTTAGATTATATGAATGAGCTTCTGATGCTTGATTTTGTGGAGGGAGAGAGGAAAAAACTTTTTCTAAAAATTAACGTTTAAAATTTATGTTGTCTGATTCTAATTTATTTTCTTCTGGTGGTGGGAATAAAATACCTAAAAAAGATAGTAAACATAATCTTTCTGTAGGTGTTTCTGATGATAGTGATGAAATTTCTCCAGAAGTCGCTTCAGATGAAGAAAGTGCATCAAAAAACAATTATTTGAAAACTGATCCTGTACATGAATCTGATAGGATTCCAGAACTGGATTCTACTTCAAGCATCAAATCAGGAAAAAATAAGGAACAAAAGAAAAATAAAAAGTCAAGCGATATTGATTCAGAAAATCAAGTAGTAAAAATACAGAAAAGTTCATCTTCAGAATCTATTAAAGTTGAAGATGAAATAAGTTCTGAAAATAAAGATCCTAATGAAAATAAACCAGATATAGGAAAAGAAAAGAGCGATTATGAAGATCACAATTCAATTTCTCCGAATAAAAGTAGTGATTCTGAGGCGATTGATTCGCAGAAACAATCTAAAATACAACAAAATGAAATTTCAGATAAAAATAACAATGAAAACAACAAAGATCAAAATGATAAAGACAAATCATCACATAGCGATACATTTATTACAGATAAAGAAGAAAAATCAGAAAAGAAAGGGGAATCTAAAAAGAAGAAGAAATCGTCTTCTTCTTCATCCTCTTCGTCTTCATCTTCCTCTTCCTCTGACTCAGATAAGAAAAAGAAAGACAAGAAAAAAGATAAAAAGAAAAAAGAAAAAGAAAATAAGCCAGATGAGAAAGAAAACAAATCAGAAGCAGGAGACTTACAAAATGAAAGTGAGAAAAGTGAAAAGAAAGATAAATCTGAATTTGAAGATTTGAAAGAAGAAAATAAACCAGAATCTGATAAAGAAAAGAGTATCAAACAAGAGAGTGATAATTCTAAATCAGATAAAGATAAATCTTCTGAAAAAGATAAAAATTCAGAATCTGAAAAATCGGATCGTAAAAAAGAGAAGGTGTCATCTGATAAAGGAAAAGAGGATAAATCTGATATTGATGAGAAGCATGACTCTGATTCAGTAAAATTAGCAAAATCAGACAAATCAAGTTCAGATTCGGAGAAAAAGTCAGAGAAAAGCAAGTCTTCTTCATCATCCTCTTCTTCTTCATCTGATTCTGACTCAAGCAAAAAGAAAAATAAAAAATCAGATTCAGATAAAAAAGAAATATCATCTTCAAAAGAAAGTAGAGACAATGATGAAAAACCTCGCGATATTCCGAAGTCAAATTCAAACCCTTCTGTGAAATTAAAGAAAGATAATAATTCTTCTGCCTCAGAAGGATTTCATTCCCCAAAGCAATCGCCAATAAAAGAAGAAACCAAGGGAGAGATCAAGGAATTTGAAATATTGGCAGTTCAGGCAGAAACAACTGAATATAATGATACCGGAGAAGAGCCAACACCATTTAAATATGAAGAAGCATATATGACTACAAAGCCGAAGATAAATACTGCTGTTGCTATGCAAAACCAGCAACATCAACCTAAATCAGTTCATTCAAAAGCTTGTTTATTGATCTAATATTTGTTATATAAAAAATGTGTTTTTATGTGATCTTCTTTGTCTATTTTTTTGTTGCTGAGATCTAAATTGAAAGATCTTTTCGTGTCCGGATGTTGAAAAAAGTGTCAAGCGGGATATCATTCAATTTAAAAATCACATAATATTGTTATTCATAACAATCTAAGTATATGTGACTCCTAAAATTTTTGATTGTGAAGAAAATAATCGTTAAAATCAATGACTGATGATTCTTATACGTTTTCAGACCTTGGCCTTTGCCAGCCGATGGTAGATGCATGCAAAAGCCTTGGTTGGAAGTATCCAATGCCAATTCAAATAAAAACGATCCCTCCAGCCATTGAAAAGAAGGACATTTGTGGTACTGCAGAGACTGGTTCAGGTAAAACTGGCGCATATATGCTCCCCATTTTCCATCACATGTGGGAAAACCCTCACAGCTTCTTTGCCCTTGTTTTTGCGCCAACTCGTGAATTAGCAACTCAAATCGATCATGTTACAAGAGATATTGGCAAAGATATCAAAGTCAGAGTCTGCACAATCATCGGTGGCGTTGATGAAGATTCGCAGGTCAAAGCTCTGAAAGCACAGCCACACGTTGTTGTAGCCACACCAGGCCGTCTTGCACGCCTTATTAGAAATAATCCGAAGGTAATACCATTAAACAAGGTCGAGTGCCTTGTTTTCGATGAAGCCGATAACATGTTACGTGAACCTTCATTTCAGACAGATATTCAATTAATTCTTAGCAAATTAAACTCCACTCACCAAACATACCTGTTTTCTGCTACAATGCCCGAAGAAATCGAGCAACTTGCCAAGCAAACAATGTCTGATCCAGTAAGATTATCGCTTACATCTGTAAATACAGTTGCACGCACACTTACAGAGCATCTTGTCATCTCCGAGACAGGAAAGAAGGAAGCCACACTTGTTGCTCTAATGAATCAATATCCTGACAAACAAACTATTATTTTTGTTGGTTCCTGCAAAACCGCAACCATTATTTCTACATTACTGAGCAACCTCAACTTCAGAACAATCGTTTACCACGGCCAACTCCCACAACGCGAAAGAATCAACGCAATTGATAGATTTAAGAACGGAGATTACCGAGTCCTTGTCGCTACAAATGTTGGTTCACGTGGTCTCGATGTTCCTCACGTGGATTTAGTCATTAACTACGAACTTCCAGAAGAACATGAAGAATACATCCACAGAGTCGGAAGAGCCGGCCGTGCAGAGAGATCTGGTGTTGCAGTGACAATAATTACTGCCAATGAAGTTGTTGGCTATATCAGACTTGAAAATTTCCTCAAGAAGAAGATTCCTAAAAAAGACATTCCCCTTGAGAAGATTGAAGAGGTCACAGAAAAAGTGGAGCTGGCCAAGAGAGTCGCTGTTGAGAAGTATAAGGAAATGAAGAAGAAGCAAGCTCAGAAGAAGAAAGAGAAAGCTCGTAGAGAATAAAGATTTAAATGTTATTTTTAAATATATATTAAGTCACTTGTCTGGATTTAAGCTTCTTAGAAAAATGTATATTTTTTTTTTTAGTTATTTAGTATTATTATCAAACAATGCTTTATTTAATATTGAATGTAAGTTGATTTCTCGAATGATATTAAATATGGATGTTAGGAATTGGATGCACCATTCCAACGCATTCTCCTCTGAGAAGAGAAGTGCCTAAAGGAACTCGGGTATTTTCTTTTGGATAAACTTCATACGAATCACCTAGAACTAAGTTCATATATTCATCAAAACCTAAAAGATTTCCTTCCATGTACATTTTTGAGTTATCATTTAAATGAACGCGGAGTCTTGCACGCTCTTTAAGATAACTTACATAAATTTTTAATGGTGGCTCTAAAAGATGCGTCGGATCGGCTCTTTCATGCGACATTTTGTTTTGTCACTTTTTTCAGCTTCTCATCACTTTGATTCATGAATATCAATGATAGAGAGCTTTTTTCATATAAAAATGTCTCCTGATGATATATAATTACCTATATATGATATTTGTTCAAGGAAAAAAATTCATTTAAAATGTTCAAAACAAAGCAAGCTGATGAGGATTAACTGAAGCTCAGAAACAAAATCAATCATTAATCTCCTTCTAGTAAAAGTCTGTTCTCATGAACATCATCTCATTTTAGAAAATATCATCAATTTATTATAATTAACAAAAAAATATAAATATAAATCAGTTAATATTATTCCATTTTGCTTTTGCAACCTTAGAACCGAACTGCATTGCTTGTTTTGGTCTTTTCGCAGCTGAATGCAAACCTAGACGTTCAGCGAGCTGTCTCAATATCCACTTCTCTCCCTGGCCCCTTCCAAGTTCCGCTTTAAGCAAGTATTCTCTTGGAATCTTTAGACTGACATCAAGAAATGCCTTTGACATGTAAGGAGCAATGACGAATTTTCCAGCTTGATTTGCGATCCTGTCATCTCTGCCGCCATTTCTCTCCCATAATCTATTTATGTACATGCAGACTTCTTTATCTACGTCTTCTGCGCTTTTCATGGACATGTATCCGCAGAACAATTCGTCAGGACCTAATCCAGACAAAACTGTCGGTGTTGGAGAGCGAATCAAGCCATTGTAGAGAGTCATCGCTATATTAAGATTCATCTCTGTTGTTTCCAGTGGCATGACATTCTGTATAATCGATGGACCAAGGTTTATTAGTTCGTTTAGATCTCCGACTTCTTGAATGAAGTTGAATTTCGTGTTAGGGAAAGCGGCAACAAGATCATTGTAACTTTGTTGTGCTGATGAATAATCAGGAGCGTTCTCATTAGCACAGAAATTGACTAAATTTACTTCTTTCGCTCCAGCTAAGGCTTGTGCTGCAGCAAGAACTGTAGAATCAAGGCCACCGGAGAATAAAACAGTTGCGTTTGGATCTGTGGCCTTGACAATTGCTTCTTGCAGCATGTCCATTGCTTGATCAACTGTGATGCTTGGATCATCACGATGCGCTGAGTAAGGAGCAGGTTTAATGGTGCAAACACCATTTTCAGTAAATATTGTAACTCCTGGAGGTACTTCTTTGCCTTGAATTCCGTAGGATGAAATGCAAAATGGATATTCTATGTAAAGAGCTGAAGAAAGTCCAATTATATCCTTGCTTGCAATGATTGTTTGCTTTGCTGCATCGTAAAATATGAACATATATGGAACATCTAAAATTGGTGGTTGTAAACTTGATTTATTAGCCTGCTTGAGTTTGGAAAATAGTTCTCGTACATCATTATATAATGATTTAATAATTAAAAATCCTGTATCATCTTGAATTACTTTAAAATGTGGATTTTTCTCGGTATTTTCTACTTCTAGTATAATATTTTGTCCTCGAAAGTTCCATTCTTTCTTACCTTGACGTCCAACTGTGATTTTGAAGCGGATTAATGGTAATTTTGCCTCCATATCAAATTTGATTTTTAAAATTTTGAAAGATTTTAGAAATATTTAACCTGAGTTAAGAGTTGCATAACTCTTTAAAGCATTTTTATTGAGTAAAAAAGCCAAATTAATAAACAGAAAATTTTTATTTCTTAATACCAAGAGATTTTGAAAGTGAAACACTAATTAATTTGGAAACATCTGGATTTGCAAGGAGTTTTTGTCTTTGCGAAGGCTTTGCGCTTACGATCTTGTTTACATCTTCGATATCTTTTCCAAAAGAAAGACCAAGAGTTTCCAGCATCTGATTTATGAATGCTAAATCAGTTCTTAGCTGTGCGCAACCTGATTCGCTGAATGAAGGAATGGCCGTTATCTCTAATAAGAAAGATTTTGCTATCAAATCAGTTGTTTTGTTCATCCACTCGCTTCTTGTCTCATCAGTCAGTGCGCTATCATTAGTCAGCAACTTAATTATCTCAAAAATACTTCTAGAAATGCCAGAAATATACAAAGATTCCTGAATCGGAATCGAAATCGACTCATCATCGCCAAGATCGACATCGCTCAGGTCATTATCCTCTGCCCATTCAGGTGCCGACTTCAGTTTCTCAAGCAATCTCAAGGAAGGCGCTGCCATCGCGTTAATTACCTCTTTTTCTATTTGTTCGATCATTTTGTTCGAGTTTTCACTCGAAGAATGAGACGCTGTTGGGGAAAGAGCAAGACAGGAAGACTCGTATTCGTCTATAAGAACGAGTTGCTCTTTCGCTGTCTTGTATGCCTGTATGGAAGCCTTGATTTTGCTGGCATCGTCATTTTGACTGGTTGTCACTTTTAGTTTGGCCAGATTGTTCAGAATTTCCTTTGAAGCGCCGTTTATAGCGATAGAAAGGAAGGAAGAGGACAACCTGATGCACATGGAGATATCCGTTGAGATGTGTGATGCCCAGTTGAGTGATTTCTTCGCAATTTGAACAAATTCTGGTAATTTTGTATCAAATCCAGAAGTTGAAACAGGCATTGTAAGTGTATCAAACATGGATGACGTGGATTGCTTCATTGGACTGCCTGGCGGCTGCTTGAGGCTGTCAGAAGTGTTGCTTTTCGGTAAAACAGGAGATCCTGAAGATAACTGTGCTTCAAGATATGATTTGTATTGAGTAATGAAGTCTGTCTTGGTCTTTTTGAGTCCTTCTAATAGTTTCTGGTGGGATTTCTCCGGTAAATACCATGACGGAGGAATTTGAGCCCATGAATCTTCAAGAGCGTTGATAACGTCAACAATTTTGTCGAATTTGTTATCTTTGAGTAGTAAATTGCACTGGGATTCAATAGATGGATTGATTCCCGTAGAAATAATTTGAATAAATTGGTCATGAATGCGGGAAGTAAAAACATGGGGTGTAAGTGATAGACACCAGTTCGAAAACTCGACTACTGTCTGCAAACAGTCTTTGTAACACGGTTGAACCCAATCTAATAACTCAAGATCTCCGCTGTTGTAGTTATTGTGGATTGACTTGATGCGTGATGATATAAATTGTGTGGCAACTTCCATTTCGAGGCCTTCACTTGAGATTTGCTTGGCTAAATTGGAATTTTCAATAAATGAAGAAGCATTTTGAGCAGAACATGCAGTAAGCATCAAATGTTTAAGTCTTTCTTCGATTGTCTGTTTGATTGATTGTAAATTCTTATTCAATGATTCAAATTTGGAAATTAATTTTAGCGAAGAAGAGGCTTGAGAAACTCTAATGTATTGAGCACAAATATCTTTAAGTGGACCAGTATTGCATTGCTGCTGTAATTGCTGAATATCACTTTCAATGCGTATTCCGTTTTTAATAATTTCACCTGATTCTCTTAAACGATCTCTACGTGATTTAAGAGAACTAAGTTCTCCAATCTTGTCAGGGATATTCCCTGATTTGAATTTATAGCCGCTATTTGTTAAATTTCGTAAACTTTCTGAAAGCTCATCAACGGTAGAGCCAATATGAGACAATTTTGCCATAGATTGTGGCAATCCAGAAGTTAATGCTTTAATATTTTGATCAGCGGTTTGAGATTCATCCCTTGATTGTAGTTGAAGTTTCGTGAGAAGAGAAGAAGCGGCCTTTTCGTAATCAGATGCTGTGCCTTGTTGTGGTGCAGCTAAATTACTATTAATCCAATCAACGATATTAAAGTTATCTCCAAATACAATTGTCATTAAATTTTATTGGCGCTGCACGCCGATAATATGAAAATTATGATTTCATGATTTGGACTTATGATTATTTCATTAATGACTTGATTAATGTAAACTCTTCATTAAATTATAAAGAAACTCTTGTTATCAGATTTTTTTTTGTATTCGATTTCGTAAATAATTATCAAAATGTGGAATAAGTATTTATTCATTTTATGCTCACAGATACTCAGCATATTTCGAGAAATTTACTGAGAGCGTTCCTTGATGGCGGCCTTCTCTGCAAGAACGATCTGAACGTTTGTTGGTGGAGAAGCGTATGATTTTACGCGGCCGTGAGCCTGGTGGATACGGCGCCAGCGGTACTGTGTAGCACGGTTGCATTGAACATGGGCAACAAGGACTTCGTCAACATTAACGCCTGGCTTCTGTGGAGCACCGGCAAGAGCTGTCTTGATGAGCTTGATGTAGAGCTCAGCGCACTTGACTGGCCAGCGGGATGTTGGGCAACCCCATTCGTGTCCCTGAGCGTGGTGTGAGATACCACCTTTATAGCGGAAGAATGGAACAGCACGCTCCTTTCTCATGACGGCTTCAAGATAAGCGATAGCATCTTGAGCCTTCATGCCCTTGATAACACGGCCTGTTTCCATCATTGGCTTGAAGTGGACGCGCTCTAAGCCTGTTGATGCCTTAAGAGCCTTGGACTCTTCAACATTGCTGAAGGTGTAGTGTGTGCTCATAAGATTTCAATGAAAAAGGCAGGCCAAGACGTTCGGACGATAAGTTTTTCATGTCACATGACTGGGACCTCGAAAATATTCCGCGTTTTTTAAGACAATTGCGCATAAATATGTTAGGTACAGCTATCTTTGATTCACAATATTGCCAAAATTTTGTAAAATTAATTTGCATTCTTTCATTTCCAGGAATTCAGGTATAAATTCTTGTTCGACATGACCTACATTGCCAATAAACTGTGAGGATTATTGCCAGAGGCAACTTAATAGGTTTAATGGCTTTGAAGATATTTTAAAAAAATCATCAGTGATCTCATCCTTCTTTTTGCAGTAAAGAAATATAGCAAATTTAGTAGTAAACAGATTATTAAAGTTTTATTTATATAAATAAAGTTAAGCACATACATGAAAATTATTCGCCTTGGGCTTCAATCTTAGCTTCAAGAGATGCAACTTTCTCTTTCCAAGCAGCTTCACGCTGTTTGCATTTTTCGATAAAGTTGTGTAGAGTTGTATGTGTTTCTTTACGTTTTGCGGTAATCGTTTCTAGTCTTGTCTCGGCTTCTGCAATCTTGTCGTTTAAATCGTGTAATTCTTGACATAATGTTTTATACGCTTGCTTAAGGTTTCTGTTTTCTCTTTTATGCTTATCTGTTGCCATTTCTGCTTCACGTGCTTCATCTGCTAATTGAGCAACACGTGGAGTATCTGGAATAAAACCTGTTTCTTGCTGATTGTAAAGATCGATCAGTCTAATGACTTCAACTATATGTGGGTCGCTTTGATTTGCTTTAGAAAGCATACTTTTTATTTTTGTGAATGCTTGTTTTTGAATGCCTGTGTAATAATTTAAATCTCCTGTGTAAAGATTCTTCATTTTCTCGCTTTGTTGTCTTTCTTCTTCTAGTTCTTCTGTTAATCTCTCTTGTTCACGTCTTAACGAGTTAATAGTTTCCTTATCTTCATCTGAAAGAGCTTTTTTAGGTTTACCTCCAGGACGCTTTTCTATTCTACGTGGTGTTTGTGGAGGAGATTTCCTCTGTATTTTTACGCCACGAGGTGTAGGCTCAGGTCTAGATGTATTCATTATTTTTCCCCCTTTGAATTTACAAAATAAAAAAAAATTAAACCGATGTAACAGAGCAGATACATTACATGTGATTGTAGAGTGAGCACCTAATGTCTAAGACTTATGTTTGGCCACAAGATCAGGTGAAATTCCTGCAATCTGAAAAGCATCTGTAGTAGATGGAAGTTATGATTTGAAAATTGATATGCGGCCCTAGTTGGCTCGTTTACAATATCGCTATGAGTGTAACATCATTCTCATGTATTTACATTACTAGAGACAAATTTTCAAATTTTTTTGGTCGAAATCTATACTTATCCTTTTTTATATATCCACACTCATTTTTCAAAATCTAAATAGGCTGATATTGAAGCATTTTTAAAAATTTTACCTGATTATTAAGTGAGATATATACGCAACCACATTATTTAGGCCCTCAATATCTAAGTTCGCTATTTTTAAACAGCCTTACCTTAAGTAAGATAGTTAGAGTTGCTATAGTACTTTTTTAAAAAATAATGTTATCAAACTCATTTGAATATTCCATTTATAATGCTCGCATAATGTAAAGTTCTCCATATCAATTTTGGAGAATTTAGAATATGAAATTAGGAAATTAATCTGATTTTGTAAAGTATTCTATTATTTTCCCTGATAGAAGCTTCTTCGTACTTAGCACTAGCATATTATGTAGTTTGATCATTATGATTAATAATTTTGTCAGCATGCAAAGTTTAACCAGATCAAAACGCGAATGATTTGAGCTTTAAAATTTATAAATTGACAAATGTGTTAGAATAGCAAATGCGATAACTTTGAATCATAAAATTGAATGGACTGCCAATTCAAAACGTGACAAAAATGGATCAAGATCTTGTAGACAATTCGAATCTTGTTACATTAACCGCAACAACAACAGACAGTCCCACCATCAAGTTCGTTGGTGTTGTCCCTATGATCATGAATATCTTAAACACAGTTTTAGGTGCAGGAATTTTAAGTGTTTCTAACTCTTTCACCTTTTGTGGTCTCATACCATCAGTATTAATGCTTTGTGCATCAGCTATCTTCACTTATATCTCAACAATCATGGTTATTAAAATGGCAGCCATAACTAATTCGGATTCACTCGGATATCTTGCAATGAAAACAGTAGGTAAATACGGATCATTATTACTATCGATTTCTTTACTCTGTTTCTGCTATGCTTGTATGACCGCATATTTAATTATGTCCACAGAAATCATACAAGGCTGGCTTCTCCTTGCAGGAGTAAATACGAATACATTTGCAAAGCGCAGTTTAGTTTGCGTCTGCTATTCTCTTTTCCTTCCAATTATGCTTACTGTTCCAAAACATGTTGGATTTCTTAACTACGCATCTACATTTTGCTTCTTCTCACTCATCGCGTATGTTGCTGGTATGATTTATAAGGCAATTATCCTTCTTCCAAAACAAGGAATCGATCCAACAGTAGAAACCTCATCCTTTGGCATCAAAATCTTCAACTCACTCGGAATTTACTCTCTTTCATTTGCTCTTGCAGGTGTCATCATCCCAATCATCAGAAATATGCAGCCAAATCTTCATAAGCGCTATGTTGCCACTGGCTCAGCATTCTTCCTCTCATTTGTCATTACGTTAGTTCCAGGCATGCTTGGCTACCTCATTTTCGGCAGATCCGCCAAACCTTTGATTTTATCAAACTTCCCCGACGACGACATCATATTTATCATTGTCAGAGTAGCCTGCTGCATTGTTCTCACAGCATCTTACCCAGCCCTTGGCGTTACAATCCTTGCTGTATATAGCCGCGTTTTTTACAAGACAGAAAACCACGCAGCTCTCGCATGGAAGCATAGGATCGTTGTTCTCATCTGCCAGAACATCCTTCCTCTAGCAATCGCCATCTTCCTGCCAAACGTAAGGCCTGCAATGGGAATTGGTGGTGCTTTTGGTGCTGGTACCTCAAATCTTGTGTTACCCCCTCTTATGTGGGTCATATTCAATGAGAAGAAGTGGACTCACTGGACGAACCTTCTTTCATTGCTCATGTTCGTTGTTGGCACTGCTGCTGCTGGAATTGCTACTTATGAAGCGGTTCTTGACTGCATCGCTGCATTTTCCGGAAATAATAATTAGCTGTATAGAGATAAACAATTTCTGTCTGTTTTTTTATAAAACATTTTTAATCTGAAATTCAAAATTTAATTTTTAAAAAATAAATTTCAATAGAGATGTATTTTATGTTTTAGAAAAATATGAATGAATATTCAGTAACTTCTGCATATCAAAAAAAAAATTATGAAAATATTTTCCTTAGACTACAGCAATTTTTATATCAGAACGAATTTAGTTCAAGGTCTATTGATTATACTTCAATGCATACAGTGTATATCATAGGCCAAGTTCGTTCTGAGATAAAAATTGTTGCAATCCTCCAAAAAATTCCATTTGAACTACAAGATATTACTTTGATATCATTAATTCAAGCTGGATATAAACTTATTATATCATGATGGTCTTTCATTTTGGAACACATTTTTTTTTCATATTGGCAGAATATTTTTTTCAATTATGATGGAGAAAAAAATTGAATAGCAAAATTTTTTGAAAGACGACAATTTTGAATCAAAATTTGACGATAGATCTCTTTTGAATAGATTTGCATCATAAGTCATTTTAAATGAATACTTCGCCAGAGATCTGCCAGTCCCAGCCAGTCAAGAAGGGCAAGGAAGGTCGTATTATTGCTAATATATTGAAAGATTTTGATTTCAAGAATTGCAAAGCATGGATATCACTTAGTTCTCAGTTCTCATCTGGTATCAGACATCCAGAATTACTTTCTATCGCATATGTTCTCATCCGTGCATTAGAATTGCCAGATATTACTCGTTCTGAAAAGAGATCGTTCCCGTGTTTAGTCAAATGGTTCAATGATAATTGGGATAAGATTTCTGGCCCAATTCAGTGCATCACATTGCTTGATGATAGAGAAATTCCAATCAGTTGCCAGCGTGAGTATTTAGAACTCTACAAATGACACATTATTCATGATTTGCTTTATAATTTTGCATATAATTCGAGAAAATGCTTGAAACCAAACTGTTAGTTTATTGTTTTTATGTATTATTTTTCATTAATGATATGCGTCAAATGGTAGTATGTTTTTTATTCTTTAGAAGTTTTGCAAACAAATTTACAAACCTAAAAAAATAATATCTGAATGATTAATGTTTTGTTGGTCCAAATCAATATATGAAGTAATGTGGAATGAACGAAATATAGTAACAGACTTCAAAGCAAAGATAAGTCAATTTTGATTTATAATTTTATATCTTTTTTCAAATATTATTAATAATTACATCATTGACAAACAACATTTATAACTTTTATTACCTAACAAACTGAGCTATTGTTAAATTCCTTTATGTGTTTATAACAATTTGTCTCTATTGTTATAATATTTTCAATCATCTTTCTTCTTCTTCCAATAAAGGAAGTCAGATGTATTTCTTTGCGTTTTCTGTATCATTTCTTGTTCTTCTGATAAATAGACGCTTTCTACTTGGCCTGGTCTATAATTTCGCGGTTTTAATGCTGTATCGGTAATATCAAGACTTCTTGACTGCAGGAGGTGCATTAATCGTACAATTGCATTATTATCTCTTCGGCTTTTAGCGATTTCACCTCCAAATAAGTATGATCTTTGTGCCGTTATGTTTGCGCCTGGTCCAAGTTCAGCAAGCCATCTTGGTTCTTCAACTTCAACAATATCAATCCTTGCGAGTTCCTTTGCAAGCCAAAATGGAAGGCCAGATTTGTAACCTTCTGGAATATCAGCTGTTGCTTGCTCCTTAGAAACAAGGAAACCGCATCCTTCAAGGTTAGTCTTAAACACAACAGGAACTAACTCCTCTTCTAGAAGAAACTGTCTAACATCTTCCATGATTTTTCAATTTGATTCCTCCCGCCTTTGATTTTTGTCAATTTTCAGAATTAGGCGCCAAAATGATTTTAAGATTTTTTCTGATTTCACAGACCATTAAGTTAAATTCTGTTAACTGTATGGCATAAGAATAATAATTAAAGAATGATTTCCCAATTTCAATAAAATGAGTGCAGCCAAGATTGATGAAGTTTCAAAACTATGCGAAAATTACATAGAGAACGAAAAATTCCAAGAAGGATTGCACCTGACAGAGAAATCATTACGCAAATATCCAAAATCTGCAAAAATTATTGCGTATCTTGCTTTATTCCTTGAAAAAACAAAGAAACATGATGAAGCACTTGCAGAAATCAAAACAGCAATCATGACAGAAATGGGCAACGCTGATGTTTGGAGAATTCAAGGTTTAATTTATAGAAGTCAAGGTGATTATTTGAAATCTCTACAAAGTATGACTATGGCCTACAAGAAAAACTCTAATGATGAAAATATTCTAAGTCAGCTTTATTCCCTCACGTTGTTTTTACATCAATACAAATTAAATTTCGAATATGCAAGTTGTATCGTAAAGGTTGCATTATCACCTGCTAATGCTCTTAAATTTGCATACTCTCAATATGTAAATGGAGATTGTTCAGGGGCAATGAAAACAATTTCAACGATTTTCGACGAAGGAGAACAATATACACAGTCAGAAATGGGTAGATTTTATGCTCATATTCTTCTTGAGACAAAGCAATATGAAGAATGCTTGAAGTTCCTCGATGGCCAGAAAATTATCATAGATAACATCTCAATCTTAGAAAGCAAAGCTAAATGTTATCTTAATCTCAATAAAAAGGAAGAATTGATGCATACTTTGGATGCTTTATTGAAGGAATATCCAGATAATGGAGATTATTTCGAAATCCTTGAAAATTTACTTTCTCCTGAAGATTACATGAAAGAGTTATTCAGAATTAAGGATCAATTCAAGTCAAATTACGCAAAAGTCAGAATTTTAGAATTAATGGATAAAAATGACGAAAAGTTCCGGCCATTACTCACAGAACACATCATTCCATTACTTAATAAAGCATCTCCTGCAATTTTTGCCACAATTGAAGCTTTTGATTCTGAAAAATTAGATATCGCTATTGAAATTGCAAAATCAGCCGAACTCCCTATCAGTTGCATTCCAGCATTGCACATAATGATTGCCCAGATCTACAATTCCAGGCAACAATACGATGAAGCCCTTGAAGAAATCGAAAAAGGAATTTCTCAGAATCCAACAGTTCCTGAGCTCTACGTCGCCAAAATCGACTCATTGAGTAAAAGCGGAAGAAACGCGGAAGCACTGGAAAGCGCCAGAAAGCTCGCAGAACTCGATCCGGCTGATAAAGGATCAAACAGAATTCTTGTCAAAAATTTGTATAGAAATGGCAAAATTAAAACCGCCAGAAAAACCGCCGCACCATTTTCCATTCGGAAAAGCAGTACTGAAGACATCTTGTTCAAGAACGAAGACAACAAGATTCATTTCAGGGCTGCAAGGAGCTGTTTAAGAATCGGGAAAATCGATGACGGAATGAATTTTTACAAAGATGTTTTGTGTCAAATAGAAGAAGGAAAGAATGGCTTCTATAACTTTTTCTCGTGGGGATTCATGAGAATCATGAACTTGCATGAGATCTACCAGTTCATTCTCAACATCTCCTCCAACAAAATTTATTGCAAAGCATTTGTCAATTTTGTCAAATTACTTTTGGCACAGAACAAACTGGATGAATGCAAGACAGAGTGCAACAAGATTGTGAGAACAAAGAATGATGAAGCACGTGCTTATCTGTCTGTTGTTTACGCTAAAACAGGAGATGTTTTGTTGGCACTGAAAAATTACATAAAACTGCCAAAGAAATATCAATTGATTTCTTTCCCTTCTGTTGACAAACTGGTGAAGAATGTCAATGCGCCGGACATGGTCAAGGAAATAGTCAATGAACTGTACAAGCCTCTGTCTGAAGATGCTAATCATAATGACCCTCAGGAGCTATTAAATAAAGCAAGAGGGCTGTTGTATGTTGATCAGAAAAATGATGCAGAAAAAGTGACATTAGAAGCAGCTAAATTAGACATGTCATTTAATATGGCTGTTGATTTATATCTCTTCGCAAAGGTCGAATGCAGGAATGAGGCAATGGCTGATGATGTCGCAAAAACAATCAATAAAAAATATCCAAAATACGAAATCAAATTAAACGATTTCGAAGATGATGACCCACATAAATACATTGTAGTTCCTGAAGAATAATTTACTGTCTATGAAAATAAAATTATTATTTTTTTAAATTTATTAAGTATTTACAACAATGAGAGATCCAATGTCCACTTTTAAAAAAAGTTTAATGTACTCATATAAGATATAGAGTGAATTCAATTCAAATCTTATTTGAAGAAACGAGAAATATTGTATGACAATTTTTGATATTTATTAGTATATTAGTAAATTTTAGATAAAAGGGGGAACTTCGTCGACAACAAAGGTATCGATCAAAATTGTTCCCATTATGCTTGACATATGAAGTATAGTAATAGTGTGTATGGACTCATAGAATGACTTTCGTTTGATTTCGAGATATATTATCATCTTCTAAAATATCCATACTTTACTTGATAACCCATATGTATTATCGTATTATGAAAATTAAACGAAAAATATGGCTCAAGACGAGCAAAATTCGATGCTAAAAAAGTAAATTGTTTAATGATTAGGGTGCTTTCAGGTATTTTTCTGAAGAAACACTTTATTCGTTTTTCTTTCTACATCTGTATATAAAACATGCACAAATAAGGATTTAAAATTAAAAATATTATTCGAATTGGGTAATTAAATCGTTAGATCTTAGATTTTATTAATCTTTTCTTCTTAAAATGAGACTGTGGTAATGGGAACTGTGTATGAGAGTTGGAGTATTGTTAAATTGCGCGAAATGTTGATAAGTTTCAAAAAGAATTTGTAGTATGTTCAAGTATATTAGAATTTAATAATATGTGATAACATCGACTGCAAACAATCGATTTTAAGTGATTGATGAAAATCGATATCAATATTTAAAATTTTCGAGGTTTTTTTGACTGATAGCAATTGCTTTGGACATCTAGAATGAAGTTCTCCTTGGTGAGTTTCTCCAAATTTTTTCCATTTTAGAAAAAGCCTATGCAATTTTCTAGAAAATGATAACGTTTTTTTCAATTCTCGATTTTTTTTGGAAAAATGAGGTTAATTTTTTTGAAAATTTATAATTTAGAGAGAAATAAACCATTTTCATTGTGGTATAAATCGATAAAACCTTTTTCTTTTTGCTATTCTATAATATTTCTACTAAAATATATCACTTATACAGCAAAATCATATAACTATTTTTCAAAGATATAGAAAAGAAGAATATATTCCTAAATTATAAATCAGTCATAGTTTACTATCAAAAATAATATATTATTATATATAGATAACCATCCATTGTTAGTAATTTAAAATTATTTCTGGTTCAAATTAAGGATTATCTTCACATGTTTAGAAAATATTGTAAACATCTAGAAAACAATCAATAATATCATGATTTTATTAATGGATGAGTTCAAGATATATATTGTGATTTGATTTTCGATAATAAATCTGAATCAAATGTATATTAAACTCGCACATTTAGTCTTCTTATCATAATAATGTTATTAGTTAGTGACTATGGCTACAAAACAAGCAACATTAGATATGTATCTCATAATCAAACGGAAGTTAAGCTAAGATATTTGAGATTTTATCACCTGGTAGTATGCATGATACTATACCAGAATGACTAGTCAATCTGTTGTTTTAATATCGTTTTAAATTTTTTATGCCAAAATAGTACTCTGGCTATCATTGGTAATACGTAAGGTTGCTACTGTTGTAATATTTCGAAAAAATAAAGGTATCAACTTTAATGCAAGATATGATGAGTTGAACATCGAATAATTGGGTTTTTGTAATACTAATCTTCTTTAGTCCCTAGTATATCATTGTTTCATACTAATAACGTGGATCAATTCCGTTTCAATGATCAGATAAAGCAGAAACAATATACTCAGGTGCCACTTTTTTGGTCTAAAAAATGAGTTCCCCCCTTTTTTTTAGATTATAATTAAATAATTTCATATTTCGTAAGAAATTTTTGGATGGAAGAGAGTGCTCCTATTTGGCTACATCGTCCTCCAATTACTTCCAATCTACGCACCCATCCAGGTATTCGCCACATATCTCGCTTACACACAAAGCCAGCTCCAATGAAACATGTCGATGAAAGATATAAAGATGCCCAGCTACGAATAGTAAGAAATTTCTTAGGCGCTCATCCGCAAACGTTAATACTTCTTAATGAGTCTAAGAATCTTTTCAGCAAACAGCTTCCAAATATGGGTGGAGAGTATATTTCACGACTTGTTTTCGATATTCATTCAGAAACTGTTATGTTGCTTTCAAATGGAATAGTTACAGGCTCTATTAGCTCAAGATTGTTCCCAATTGAAGAATTTGTTGAGATAGTTTTCCTTGCAGTTCAATCTCAAGACCAAGCTCGTGGATACGGCCGTTTAGTTATGAATTATCTCAAACAGGCAATGATGGTCTACAAATTTTATGATTTTCTTGCTTGCGCGGATAACGAAGCTGTTACATTTTTCAAGAAATTAGGTTTCAATGACAGGGCTATCATGATGGATCCATCCAGATGGGTCAGGAGGATCAAAGATTACGATGGTGTCACTCTTGTCCACTGCAAACTGCACAAAGAGATCGATTACATGAATTTCGCAAAAACAATTCAACTTCAGATAGATTTTGTCGAAAATATCATAGGAAAACATATAATAAATACACCAAAGGCACTAGAAAACCCATTTGTTAATCATACATTCGCTCCTACAAAAGTTTCGATGCCATTACCAAAAATTATGAAACTTATTCACAATAATGTACCGCAGACGGAATACGATAAGAACAAAATAGTTGATTACCGTGAAAAAATGTCGAAATTACGAAAAACTTTCATTTCTATCATTGACAAGTTCATTGCGAACCCGAAATTCATGCTATTCGAACGCCCTGTTACAGAAGATATCGCACCAAAGTACTTTGAATTGATTCAGAAACCAATGGATTTCATTACTATAAAACGAAGGCTCGAACGCTTCCCAGACTATTACAAACGACCAGAACAGTTGTACTCTGACTTCCAGTTGATTGCGGATAACTGCAAAGCGTTTAATCCGCCTGGATCTCAGTATATCGCTTTGTCAAACTCGTTAATGAGTACTGTTAAGGCTATCTTCGGTCAGGAATTCCCTGATCACGCTGTTTGATTAAAATTGTTGTTTATATACTTTCTTTTCAAAAAATCAAATTTTCTTAATTTATCTCTTATAGAACTTCTTTTGTATAATTACTGATACTCATTCCGAGCTTAGAGAATCGGAAAATGCAGATTGCCAGTACAATTGGAAGATTTTATACCCTCAATTTTTGACTTTTGCAACTTTTTCATGACCCCCTACCCAGGTATCTAAAATACCATTTATCGCCTGAAAAGCACCCTTAATTTATGCCAATTGACAAAATAAAGATATGTTTAGAATGCTGATATGATGGAGAATCATGCTGCATCATTATTGGCCAGCAATATATAATATTTAAGAAATCTACGAGATTATCTGATTTCATGAAACTCAATGTATACTAAGTTTCAGACTTTGAAATTTTAACATGTTGATATGGGTACATAGGGTTTATGATTCCAGTCATTTATTTAAAAAATTACAAAAATGAATTAATATGATGTGAGTAACAATGGTAATAAACGCTTAATTACTAATATATTATTTCTTGGTAGGAATGAAATGTTTTGGTGACATTTATAGAAGTTAAGCTGAGAATCAAAAATGCAAAAATTATTTTAAATATTACAAGCATTATTTGATGTCATTGAGTTTAGAGTCGTGTAGATATATGAGTACAATATGTTATTGATGTATATATGCAATAATTGTGAAAATGAAATGTGAATCTCAAGATGAGTTGCATGTTACTGCGCTATAATTTGAATTCAATACGTACATAACATTACTAAATGTATTTTAAGATAATACAAAAAATTAAGCTTGCAAAAAGATATCGAAATGTAATTTTCATTAGATTCAAAGTTCTGAATAGATTTTGATTTTAACTATTGATGAGTTTGTCAAACCTCTATAATAATAGAATGTAGAACTAATTAAATATAATTAATAAAAAAATACAAATTTAAGTGATATTATAAGAGATATATGTGATGTTACCAATATGATATGATATTGGAGAACTGATAGAATTGTGATGTGAGACTAAATATGATTTTATTATGAATAGGAGAATAATATTAGAAGAATTTCTTGAATTTAATGTATCTGAATATGTAATTGGGCATATATATATTGGTAGGTTAACTAGAAATAAGAAGATGAAAGATTGTTAATGAATAATATGAGATTAAGCGAAAATATATTGTTCGAATAGATGAGTGTTGAGATCCAATATATATGAAGAGGGATATGTGAGAGGAAATATGTATATTTAATAAAATAAGCGATGAGAGAAAAAATAACAAAGATTTATATGAAATTTTGAGTATTGAAAAAGCTCGATTAGTGATTTTATGTCTGTTAAAGGAATAGATATTCTAGGAGAAAGATAAATTGAATTAAAGAAGAATAAAAAAAGTTGATTAAGATTGATAAAAATATTGAATTGAATGACAATGGAAAGAAGGGATAAATTGGTGTTGGTATGACGGTATCATTTCGGGAGACATTGCCTCTGCATGTCTCCCAGAATGAGACAATCTTCTGCAATCAGAATGTGATTGCAAAACTTTGACCGACAAGAGTGCATTATGCACTCCTGTCGGTCGCAGTGTCTCATTCTGGGAGACATTGCCTCTGCATGTCTCCCAGAATGGAACAATGTTCCGCATTGATAACTTGAACGCGGAAGTTTGACCGACAAGAGTGCATTATGCACTCCTGTCGGTCGCAGTGTCTCATTCTGGGAGACATTGCCTCTGCATGTCTCCCAGAATGGAACAATGTTCCGCATTGATAACTTGAACGCGGAAGTTTGACCGACAAGAGTGCATTATGCACTCCTGTCGGTCGCAGTGTCTCATTCTGGGAGACATTGCCTCTGCATGTCTCCCAGAATGGAACAATGTTCCGCATTGATAACTTGAACGCGGAAGTTTGACCGACAAGAGTGCATTATGCACTCCTGTCGGTCGCAGTGTCTCATTCTGGGAGACATTGCCTCTGCATGTCTCCCAGAATGGAACAATGTTCCGCATTGATAACTTGAACGCGGAAGTTTGACCGACAAGAGTGCATTATGCACTCCTGTCGGTCGCAGTGTCTCATTCTGGGAGACATTGCCTCTGCATGTCTCCCAGAATGGAACAATGTTCCGCATTGATAACTGAACGCGGAAGTTTGACCGACAAGAGTGTATTGCACTCCTGTCGGTCGCAGTGTCTCATTCTGGGAGACATTGCCTCTGCATGTCTCCCAGAATGGAACAATGTTCCGCATTGATAACTTGAACGCGGAAGTTTGACCGACAAGAGTGATTGTGCACTCCTGTCGGTCGCAGTGTCTCATTCTGGGAGACATTGCCTCTGCATGTCTCCCAGAATGGAACAATGTTCCGCATTGATAACTTGAACGCGGAAGTTTGACCGACAAGAGTGCATTATGCACTCCTGTCGGTCCGCAGTGTCTCATTCTGGAGACATTGCCTCTGCATGTCTCCCAGAATGGAACAATGTTCCGCATTGATAACTTGAACGCGGAAGTTTGACCGACAAGAAGTGCATTATGCACTCCTGTCGGTCGCAGTGTCTCATTCTGGAGACATTGCCTCTGCATGTCTCCCAGAATGGAACAATGTTCCGCATTGATAACTTGAACGCGGAAGTTTGACCGACAAGAGTGCATTATGCACTCCTGTCGGTCGCAGTGTCTCATTCTGGGAGACATTGCCTCTGCATGTCTCCCAGAATGGAACAATGTTCCGCATTGATAACTTGAACGCGGAAGTTTGACCGACAAGAGTGCATTGTGCACTCTTGTCGGTCGCAGTGTCTCATTCTGGGAGACATTGCCTCTGCATGTCTCCCAGAATGGAACAATGTTCCGCATTGATAACTTGAACGCGGAAGTTTGACCGACAAGAGTGTATTATGCACTCCTGTCGGTCGCAGTGTCTCATTCTGGGAGACATTGCCTCTGCATGTCTCCCAGAATGGAACAATGTTCCGCATTGATAACTTGAACGCGGAAGTTTGACCGACAAGAGTGTATTATGCACTCCTGTCGGTCGCAGTGTCTCATTCTGGGAGACATTGCCTCTGCATGTCTCCCAGAATGAACAATGTTCGCGCTTGATAACTTGAACGCGGAAGTTTGACCGACAGAGTGTATTGTGCACTCCTGTCGGTCGCAGTGTCTCATTCTGGGAGACATTGCCTCTGCATGTCTCCCAGAATGGAACAATGTTCCGCATTGATAACTTGAACGCGGAAGTTTGACCGACAAGAGTGCATTATCCAATCTTTTTTGTCATATACCTCAACCCACAAAGACAAAACCTTACATAAAATAGGTAAACTTTGGTTTTCACTTAATAATGTTTATTTTTAATTTTTTGTTCTTTATATAACTTTTTCTTCTACTAAACTATTTTACAGACTCTACTGAGCTATCCTCACATATATACCTGTGACAATAACACATATATACTCCCTTCATATTCTGATCTCATGACATATTACAGCACAAACTATAATTATACAACATACCTCATAAAGTCTGATTTTACCCCTATCTAAGCGTTCAAAACCTATTTTCCCCGCGTAATCTGATTCTTCTGGCTCTGCTGATTCGATTTCTGCTGTCAGATCGTGAAAATATGCATCACACAATGAGATAAACACAAAATACACAACTTAATATTTTCCTTAAAATTTCTCTTCAAGTTCATACTGAAACAACATCTTTTTTTGAAAATACAATTTTTTCAAAAAATGTATGAATTCAAAAGTGCATACTATATCTAGTCATTACCCAACATTAATTTTGTATTTTAGTTTTTAAGATATTCATTTTATTATACGTCTTATTCAGAAAATTAAATATATTTGTGAGGGAAAACGGAGGAAATAATAAATATGTCAAGATCGAGGAATTGACAATTTTAAGGAAAATATTAAGTTGTGTATTTTGTGTTTATCTCATTGTGTGATGCATATTTTCACGATCTGACAGCAGAAATCGAATCAGCAGAGCCAGAAGAATCAGATTACGCGGGGAAAATAGGTTTTGAACGCTTAGATAGGGGTAAAATCAGACTTTATGAGGTATGTTGTATAATTATAGTTTGTGCTGTAATATGTCATGAGATCAGAATATGAAGGGAGTATATATGTGTTATTGTCACAGGTATATATGTGAGGATAGCTCAGTAGAGTCTGTAAAATAGTTTAGTAGAAGAAAAAGTTATATAAAGAACAAAAAATTAAAAATAAACATTATTAAGTGAAAACCAAAGTTTACCTATTTTATGTAAGGTTTTGTCTTTGTGGGTTGAGGTATATGACAAAAAGATTGATAATGCACTCTTGTCGGTCAAACTTCCGCCGTCTCACAAGTTATCAATGCGGAACATTGTTCCATTCTGGGAGACATGCAGAGGCAATGTCTCCCAGAATGAGACACTGCGACCGACAGGAGTGCATAATACACTCTTGTCGGTCAAACTTCCGCGTTCAAGTTATCAATGCGGAACATTGTTCCATTCTGGGAGACATGCAGAGGCAATGTCTCCCAGAATGAGACACTGCGACCGACAGGAGTGCACAATACACTCTTGTCGGTCAAACTTCCGCGTTCAAGTTATCAATGCGGAACATTGTTCCATTCTGGGAGACATGCAGAGGCAATGTCTCCCAGAATGAGACACTGCGACCGACAGGAGTGCACAATACACTCTTGTCGGTCAAACTTCGCGTTCAAGTTATCAATGCGGAACATTGTTCCATTCTGGGAGACATGCAGAGGCAATGTCTCCCAGAATGAGACACTGCGACCGACAGGAGTGCATAATGCACTCTTGTCGGTCAAACTTCCGCATTCAAGTTATCAATGCGGAACATTGTTCCATTCTGGGAGACATGCAGAGGCAATGTCTCCCAGAATGAGACACTGCGACCGACAGGAGTGCACAATACACTCTTGTCGGTCAAACTTCCGCGTTCAAGTTATCAATGCGGAACATTGTTCCATTCTGGGAGACATGCAGAGGCAATGTCTCCCAGAATGAGACACTGCGACCGACAGGAGTGCACAATACACTCTTGTCGGTCAAACTTCCGCGTTCAAGTTATCAATGCGGAACATTGTTCCATTCTGGGAGACATGCAGAGGCAATGTCTCCCAGAATGAGACACTGCGACCGACAGGAGTGCACAATACACTCTTGTCGGTCAAACTTCCGCGTTCAAGTTATCAATGCGGAACATTGTTCCATTCTGGGAGACATGCAGAGGCAATGTCTCCCAGAATGAGACACTGCGACCGACAAGAGTGCACAATACACTCTTGTCGGTCAAACTTCCGCGTTCAAGTTATCAATGCGGAACATTGTTCCATTCTGGGAGACATGCAGAGGCAATGTCTCCCAGAATGAGACACTGCGACCGACAGGAGTGCACAATACACTCTTGTCGGTCAAACTTCCGCGTTCAAGTTATAATGCGGAACAGTGTCTCATTCGAGGAGCCCTCGAAAAGAACCTCACATCGACTCTCTCTTTCCGGCATCTTTACCGCATAGAAAACTGCTCGTTCGCAACTTTGTGTGCAATCTAAGAGATGATTGCGGTAAAGATGCCGGGAAGATTGATGCTGCAGCCCCAGGCCGCACTCAGATTTCATCCCGCTACACAATTGTTCATCCAACAACTGTCATAGAGGTTGAAATTTTCGACCAGAAGTGAAACATATCATTTTTAAGACTGCGGCGCGCAAGCAAGTTTGAACCTTTCAAGGGTGATCAGTCCTTTACTCATTTCAAGACCTCTTGTTGCCTGATAAAACGATACTTCCTTCCTTGTGGGCCATTGAAAACCGCCCAAACCGTCACAACTTGCTTCCTAAATTTTATTTGCGGAGTAATTATCATGCATATTTTATCGGATAATAATATCAAAGCTAAATTTCATATTATTTTTTAAAGATATGCATTTTCTGTCTAAATTTATTTTTTCTGTTTCCAATTCACGGAATAATATTCTTACAAGCATATACATAGCTAATATATATCATTTTAATAATAATAAAACCAAAATGATGTATTCTTCATATAGTTATTTAAAATTCGTTAACTAGAATTGTATTCAGAACGAGGCAAAGTTAGGAGATACATAAAAACCAATAACTTGATAAGTGATACCTTTTTTCCTGATATATCTATATGTGTTAATGTCAAACACGATTTGGAAAAATTAATTCTTTAAATCGGCTTAAGAATAAGACCAACATCAAAAGCATGGCTAATAAATTAATAAATCAATGTTTAATTACCGATTCATGCATTTTTTTCAAAATTTCAAATTTCAAATTTTTGTTTCTCCAAAATATTAATTGTTTCCACTAGATTAACAAATAAACAATAAATTGGATTAATGTAATGCCCAATCATTCATTTTAAATTTTAGATTTAAAACAATATTTTTCTCCATATTATTATAACATGAATCGCTATGATATAAGAAATATATTTTCAATATTGAAATTGAAAAATTCTAAAATTTTTGAAATTCAATTTGAGTGTGATGATCGATAACATATATTTTTTAATTAAAATCTTGTGTTGCTATCATATAAATATACTATTTCTAAATTAAAAATAAAAAAAAGTACTATTTAATGATGAAATTGCAAATAATATCAATATATATATATTCATGCTGATATATTTTGGGAACAGATTGGCAATCACATAAATAGGATTGTTTTAGTTTGTCATGGATATAAAACAAATTTTCGAGCTAATTGAGCGAATTTAAATCACAAACACTTATATTTTCTATTACAAGGTATATTTGTAATATACAACCAGTAAATAGCTTTCTCTAACTTTTACCAGCTTAGATGATAGCAAATTAGATACGAATTTCATGACCCCTCACCAAATTCCACTAAAACATATACAAATAAAAGTACTAAGTGGGTATCATCTAACCCTAGAATTATAGCTCCTCGGACTCATCCTAGATGGTAGTTCTGGAAAAACACCTGGTTTTTGGAGTTGCAAAAGTTAAAAATTGAGGGTAGTTATCAAAAGCGTAAATTTGTGGATTCAAGGACTTTTAAGGCGAGTGCTTTCTTTTGAACTTCAGATATGGCCAATTAATCTCAAAATTAAAGATAAATTTTGGAAAAAAATCAAGCAATTCCGATTCTTCCATATGCAGAATTGATTGTTGAAGTTAAGAGATGCACTCCGATACTTAACTTAAGTGATTAAAAATTTGAGAGTAATGCAAAATCTTTCATCAATGTCCGATTTCTCACTTTTTAAAAAGTTTATAATGTAAACTTAACAATTTTTTCAGAAAAAAAATTATAAGTAGCCGGATAAATATTGCTAAATCTCCGGACATTTAGATAAATATATGACAAACGAACTAGTACCTGATTATGTTAACTATCTCAGGGAAGATGATAAGCAAGAATTCATCGAATTAAGGAAGATGTTCACATCAGAGGACTACAATTTCTTCGAGCAAAATCAATTTTGTGAAATCATGGATATCATCAAAGATTATTCTGTGCGGAATAATGATGATGACCCTAGACGATGTCTAGTATGTGGTTTGTGTTGGACAAATACCGGTTTAGGTGTTAACTCATCACATCTAACGTACTTAACAGGTCAGCCTAAATCCACAATAAACAATGAGCTTAATAATTTAAATTACCAGCCATCAATATTTTCGAATGAAGTCATTATAAAGATCCCAATTCTTCAAGGTAACTTTAGAGAATTAAGACTTTGGTCGTTCAGGAAAAACCCTACCACAATTGTAAACAATATTAATAACTATAGACTCTCCAGATCAGAAACGCCAAAGCCACATACTAAAATGTCTATTTTGTTTGAGTCAACATTTAGTTACGAGCAGTTCAATATATACGAGTTCCAAAGCATCCCGTCAGATAATGCAACAACTGATAGTTTTTATAACGATATTTTTGTGCTCCCAATGACTAGCTGGGAGAAAGGCAATTGATTTGAATGCACGTGACATTCATTTTTTGCTGTTTTGTTTGTATGTTTTTTGTTTAAAAAAAAATTAATTTTTCGTTAAATTTATTTTTTTAAAAAAAAGACTACATATGTATGTATGTCTGAGTATTTCATGATCTAACAACAAACACTTGGTGAATAGTACAACGTACTAAGAATAATTGTTAATTTGAGAATTAGCATAGGATCTGATATCAATTGATTCTGTTGCACTTGATGAGTTATCAACCCACAGTGATAGAATGCTTATGTTCCTATTGATGTTATTTATAAATAGGAAATATTCTTAATTGGTTGAATGCATGCAAACTAACACTTATGTAGAACATGTAGGAATAGTAATTTATGGTATATAAGGCTGAATATAGCATTTTGATGTTCTTTCTCATATTTGTAAATGAAATAATATATTAACTCTTTTTCAGGCAGAACGGGTATGACTAAATAGAATACAGTTCCATTGTAATGAAATAATTATCACATTTATATTAAAAATGAAAAAAATGCAACAGAAAGTTCGAAATATTAATTGCAATAAGCTAAAACTTAAGGAAAAGTAGGTGTTGGTCGTATGTAAATAGATATTAATTATTGAAAAGCACAATGTTATAAAAGATATTAAACATTTATTCGCGCGATAGAGGAATTTAGCTGAGAAGCTGTAATTTCATACGTTCTTCGATTATTGCTGCAAGTTCTCTCACTTTTGCGTCATGCTCTTCTAAATAGCGTCTTAAGAGGTCGTCAATCTTTTTAGGCTTTTCTTTCATTAGATTTTCAAAGTCCTCCTGATCTTCTTCATTCCATTGAATTATTTCTGGTTCAACATAATCTATTTCCATGCAATCTTCTTTTTTCGGTTCTAAAGTTCTTTCCATAAGTGTTTTATGCTCTTTTGTAGGGCTTGATGATGTTTCTGATAATGCATCATCTCCAATAGATTTCCTTGATGAACTTGAGCGTCTGGCGTGTTTCATTTTTTTTGGTAAAAAAAGGGAGAGAAAATTAAAATGATTGGGTTGTTACATATTAAGTTCTGTCAAAATGTAAGCTATTGAATTTTTTGAGAGGGAAATAATCGTCGAGGAAGTAAAAAGTGATGCTTTAGGAAATATTATTAGAAGTATGATAATAAATATATTTGGAAAAAATATGTTTTTTTCAAAAATTGAAATGTTCATAGAATATTTTGAAATATGTAGGGAATTGAATTCGGTAATATATGATAAACAGGATTTTTAAATTTCAAGGAAAAATAGCTTTTGTGAATACTTTTGAGAACTCTTCTCAAAGATCATGATTCAAATATATTAAAGAGCCAAAATATTAGAGATGAGTTCATAATCAAAATTTTACATTTTAATTATTTAGAAAAACGTATTAACCTCAATAAAAAATATCTCAAAGATTAATAGTTAATTTAGGGTTTCCTAGCTATCTAGAGGGAATTGTTCCTTATGATGAAAAAAAAAAAAAAAAAAAAGGTAGTGGGGCTTCCAGGCACTTCGTGCCCTCTAGCCCTGAAGATGTTTAGTATAAATGAAGTTTTTATTCGGAAAATTGTTAGTCTTCTGGTGTGAATTCGGAGGACTCTTCTTCTTCCTCCATTGCTTCTGGGAAGAAGCCTTCTTCTGGGTCGAAAACATTATATAATGTGTCGCTTTTCACAAATTATATATGTTTTCATGTTTTGTCACTTTTCTGTCACTTTTCGGGTAAAAACATTTTTATTATTTATATAAATGAATTTTACAAAACCACCGTTACCGTTCTTTGGAAATAAGAGTAGATGTAAAGATATTATATGAGAGAACTTAAGAAACTACCGAATGGTCTAACATTTGTAGATTTGTTCGGTGGAAGTTTCTATATATCCCATTTGTGCCATATAATATTCCAGACTCAAAGATTATATGCAATGACTTCGACAACTATATGGACCGTCTCAAACATATACCAGACACAAACAAAATATTGAGTGAGTTAAAAGAAAAGATACCTATAGGTAAGATGGAAAGTATACCATTAGATAAGAAAATATTTGTGAGAGAGGTTTTGAAAAAGCAGAATATATAGACTGGAATGTATATCTGCTAGACTATTATATAGTGGTCTATAAGAGTTCATGACATTGAAACACTTATGTCAAAAGTTTTATATCTTAACTATACAAATGTTTTCAAAGAGGACATAGAAAAATATATTGAGGGTATAGAGTTTGTGAGATGTCATTGGACAGATTTGTATGAAAAATATAAAGACAAGGAAAATGTTTTCTTTATAGTGGACCGCCGTTCTATAACACATGGATTTTCAATACCAAGTAGACTGGACTTTGAGAGACTCTTTAGAAACTTTAGACGTTTTACATAACCATCCATGCTTTTACTTTACATCCGATAAAAGTGGTTGGAAACCGTTATGAGATGGTTAGAGGACATACATGACTATGAGTTTATATATGACAAGATAGAATATGAGAGAGGTCTATAAACTGGAGAAAGTGTCATAACAAAGAAATTTTATTAGTAAGTAAATGTGGTTTGAAATAGGACTACTTGTTTTAGGTTTTTTCCATTGTGTCATTTATTTATTTGACGTGGCAGAAAAGTACAGAGAATATGAAGATGAACAATGCCTGCAAATGTTCAGTATATGTACTCGTAAAGATATTTTTATCTAATATTAAATGGACGCACAGAACTTAGCGAATGCACAGCAACCTGGACAACCAAACCCAGAGAATATTCCAAATGAAGTTAGAATACAAACTGCAATGGCAAACTATGGTCAAGTGCCAACAGATGTACAAATGCAAACTGCCATGTCAAATGACGCTGCGTTAGGTTTGCCACCATGGTATGCAAATATGAGATGGAAAGAGTTTTATACAAACCTGAAGTGGAATATAAACAACTTTATGCAGATGACGCGAACACAGGTTGACCAGAATATGTTTTCTACCAGAGGAGAAACAGAATGTATGAGCTCCAGTTAAAGAATGCTATGGAACTCAACAGGAAACGTAAGAGACTAGGCGGAACATTAGATTTTTACATATAGTAAAATGGGTTTCTTCAGTAAGATAGGAAACTTCTTTCGAAATGTTGGAAGAGTATATGGAAGGAATAAAAACCGTAGGAAGAGGAATTTGGAACGGAGTCAAAAATATTGGTAAAAGAGTAGGTCAGTTTGTTGGTATTATACCTAAAGACCCTGAACCAGAAGAGCAAGCTCCTGTTATAACAACGCCTGAACCTGCACCACAGTCTAGTTGGCAACCAAATCCAACACCTCAACCGTATTAAAAATTATATTTACCGTTCGATAGTAGTTGTATATGAACTAAGTTCTAAGTAAAACGCATGGTATAATGGAATTATTCTTTTTCTTCCATCTGTAGTAAACCATACTTGAAAGTCTGAAATACTTCACTTGGTGGTTCGTATAACTTTGTAGGTTTTTAAAAGTCATTTGCCAAGCATAAGAAAGAGTTTTGGGCGCCAGAAAATGAAGCATGAACAATAATAGCAGTGGTCGAAAACATTTTAAATAAATATGGTTCATTCTCTTGCATATCGACTGTAAATATTTGCTAAAGGAAGTTCGACTTGATTTAACATTCTTTGCAAATAATACCATGACATTGCAGTGAATTCTGTATATATTTGTTTCGTCTTTATTTGCATTGTTTTCGTAGATTGAAATGACACTTGTGAATTTTGTTTGTCATATACAATTCTCACATAAAGTGTGCTCTCGGTATTTGCATATTCATCAGCATATTTGCATAACATGAATTATTTTATCTTCTATATTTTTTAACGCAGTCTGTAGAGAAGATGAAAGGTCAACTTGTATTAGCTCAATTTCTTCCCAATTTTTCGTTTCCCTTAGTATATAATCTATATGAAACCTTACAATAATGGAAAACTTTTATCTTCTACAGACACAAACTTCATTCTACGAAAGCAATAGCTTTTGTGACAGATGGGTCTCTTAGCCATCTTAATGGGTTAGTCAAAACGATAGCCTTCATGCTTTACGGTCTCTGTCTCAAACTTTTGACCGACATTAGTAAAAGTTCATCTAATGGTTTAGTTGTAGCAACTCTTGAATTTTCTTTTTCTATTGGAAGCATATTTTATCTAGAATAAAAATGTCGAAAGATATTGCTCCATGAGAGAAATACAACACAACCGACAACTCATTATGCAAGCTCTAAATAAGAAACAACAAACTTTTCAAACTATTCTAAGATATCTGAGTCATTGAAAGAAGGAAACTTAAAACTGACATTAAACCCAATGACAGATGAGTTTCTGTTTCAGACAATAAGAACATACTGTCTGTATAAATCCAACAAAAGGAACTTTAAACGAGAAACCTATAATGAACTTCTTTTGAAAGCAGATGTTGACAACAAAGCTGACAAAGAATATGTAGACGATGCAATAGCAAAAAGAAGAAAGAGCTAACAATGCTTATGCAACAAAAGAACATACTCATCCTGAACTAGCAGACAAAACATATGTTGACAATAAAATGTCAAGTGAAGTGACAAGAGCTGAAAACGAATATTCTAAAAAGACTCATACACCATTCTAATTCTGAAATAACAGACTTACAAGAAACCTTAAACAGTAAAGTGCCGTTGGACATACACATACCATTGCAAATATTACAAACTTACAAGAAACCTTAAACAGTAAAAGTGACGTTGGACATACACATACCATTGCAAATATTACAAACTTACAAGAAACCTTAAACAGGAAAGTGACGTTGGACATACACATCACCTTCTGAAATAACAGACTTAAAGTTAGCCTTGAAAGAAAGCAGATAAAACATAATGTCAATGAAATATACCAAGTTGATAGGAACAACGAAAAAATATTGAACTATTGTTGGTGACTTTTCTGTCATGAAGAAAACAAATATTTTAGATGGGAGTTTGTACACTCTTAAAAATGGTATACGGTATAAACTCATTCCGAAAAATAACAATGAAATGTATGTAGGCTATATAAAGAATAATGGTACACAAGTTAAGTTCCATTAGACAAAACTGCTACTTAAACTTAATGGAGACGAACAAAAGAAATATTTAAGAGTTTATGAAATGACAGATATGACATGCCTGACCCAGCTCCAGCACCATATTATTATGACTATGGAGATGACGTCAGAACACCACATGTAGATGAACAAAGCTAACATTATATTTAGATTTTTATAGATATAAAAGATATAATGCAATAGAAAAAACGAGAATAGTATACTATTATGACAGATGACAGAAATAATATTATAGTCAAGACTTTACCTACCCTGAAAAACATAAGATTATATTATAAAAAAATATTCTGACACAAACCAGAAGAAACCTGAAATAGTTGCACTATATTTAAGTTCAAAAGAGACAATCCTATAATGTCTCATATGTTTGATTTAATGAACCCAGTAGGTTTCTATTTACATCTATGGAAGCAAGAGGTCCTCAAGTAATGTTTGGTGTTGGGCATGGAACAAATAGTCGACAGGTTTTTGTATTGTGCAAACTCTTCAAAGGAAACAGGTGGAAGTAAAACGATTTTCAGGTGAAAATTTACCTGCACACAGTCACTACATAGATTTAAGTACATCTCAAGCAGGTTGGCATAAGCATAGATATTGGGATTGGTCAGGAATGACAAAAGGTAAAGGATATGATGTTAAAGACGACGTTAAGTTTGCTATAAATTGTTACTGGGATGACACCAGGGAGAAGGAAACCATACACATTTCGTTTCAGGATATACGCAAACAACGGGACAAAGTAAAGAATACATGCCACCTTACATGACAGTTTACGCATGGTATAGAATTGCTTAGTCGTCATTTTCAACTTCTTTAGCATATTCGTCAGGAGTTGTCTTATATTTGTTAGGAATTGTCTTTGAAAGTATACCACCTTGAACTTTGACAAGTTTGA